GCATATTATCTTCAAAGTAGTTGTTCAGGTTATAAGATATGAAAAAATGATCAGATAGTGAAAGCACAAACCATTCTTTTTGATGAACAGAGAGTAGTATAATCATCTATCGTGTGTGTGTGTGTGTATATATATATGTATATATATATAAAATCTTGTCCCTTCTTTCTTTTCTCCTTTCCTTCATCCCCGTTGTTCCTTCCTTTTGAAAAGTTTCCTCCCCTTTTGCTTTCATAATGTCTGTTGTACATTTTGGATCCTATTTACTCTTTTAGTTTTTTACCCTAGGGAGACAATACGATGTTTTTCACATGTGAGTCTGATTTATTTCACTTATAAATATGGTCTCTAATTGCATTCATCTACCTATAAAAGTGTTGAGCTTATCCTTCTTTTTAGCTGAGTAGTACTCCATTGTCTAAAAATACCACCTTTTTATCCATTCCATGGTTGATGGGCATTTGGGTTGTTTCTAAGATTTAGCTGTTACAGATTCACAGTGGGTTTTTTGTTTGTTTGTTTGTTTGGTTTTTGTTTTTTTGAGAGAGGGTTTTGCTATGTAGTTTAGGCTGGCCTTGTACTCAGTATGTAGTGCACACTGTCCTCAAATTTGGCAGTCTTCCTGTCTCAGCCTCCCAAATGCTGAGATTACAGATGTGCACCATAATGTCTAGCTCACAGTATTATTTCTTACTGGCCCTTTCACTAAAGATTGTCAGCTATATAATTATGGGAGCTTTTTCTTTAGAATTCTTGGCAATTTCGTTATTGTATTATTTTTGTGTTTAGTATCATAGTATGAAAATGGATTAGATATAAGTAGGATACAAATATGTGTTTGGGGAATGCTTTTCTTTTCTTTTTTTATTTTTTAAAGAATTTTATTTAAAGAGAAAAACAAAACAAAAAAGGGTAGAAGTAATACAGAATTTCAAAAAAAAAAAAAAACAAACAGTAAGAAATCACTAGTTGGTAGATTACATTTGTCATCTTAGAAGTCACTGTTCCTGTTACAAAATTAAAGCATACAAAGTAGACATTCAAACAGTGAGACTGCAAACAGTTCTGTTCAATGATCCAACAAAAACTTAGTAATATGGTTATCTGTCTTACACACTTAAACATACATGCAGTTATATCCTTTAGAGCACTTTCTTTCCTCTCTGTTTTATAATAACAATTATACATTTTAGGTTTTATTACTCATACAGTTCTTATTTGTTTGAAGAGAATAAAACCAAATGTGACAAAACAAAATGGAGTCAGTTAAAGCAAGAATAGACATAGTATATGATGTAAAAACAAAATACAAGGTGATCAACAATGGCTACTATAATGTCTCTTGCTGTCTTCAAAAGAATTGCCCATATCTTAAAGAGGGTATTCTAGATTTGTTTATATTCTTCACCAAAGGTTTCTCTTCCTTTTCTGGGTTCCTCCATTTTTCCCTCTTTTCTTGAGAGGTGCTTAGCATTTCTTTAATTAACCTTTTTATTTCTTGCCTCACTTAGGTTAGATTTCAGTGTTCAGTTCATCTATGAAGTCACGAATGTATTTCTTTATGTCTGCTGATGATGTAGCTAATATTGCATGATTGCTGACTGGTTCTCTTCTGTATTTACCTGTCTTAGGCTTATTTTCCCAGGCTCAGAGGCTGGAGGTTTTGTCTTATCCTTTGCTCTTCTCATGTTTCTGGTTTCTTTCAGACAGGTGTGTGGAGGAGGTCTCAGGCTGTCTCTGTATTCCTTACAGTTTTTCTGAAGTGTGCTGGCCGGGGGCTTGCTGCTGTCTCCAGTTTGCTGATATCTGAGGTGGCGCGCAGGGATGCTGTGGGCTGGCCCCTCCCCCCTAAGCCAGTCAACCTGCAAGTGCCTTCAGCACTTCACACTGTCACAGGTTCTGAACAGTTTTGTCCCTGGCTGTTGGTTCCCAACCAGCAGTGCGGTTCAGCCCAAGCTGCTCCCTCCAGTCCTCTCTGGGCCAGGGGTGGTTGACTGATGCCACTGTGGTGTGGGGCTCTGTCCTACTCCAAGATGTCTCCAGTCAGCCACCCACGCAGCGGGGTCCCAATTTCCAGCACTCACGGGGAGCCAATAAAGCTCTCTACCTTGGCTCCACTCCATACCGTGCTGCGTCCTCCTGCCAAGAGCCCGGGACTCACGAACTCCCGTTATCAAGACAGCCAAAGCTTCAGCACGACCTTGAATTGTCTGACTCCACGGTGCGCCCAGCATAGAGCTGGACAGGTCTCAGTGAACACATCGGTCTTCAGCCCTTCATCTGGCCCTCTCCATGTTGTCAGATTCTGGCATCTGGGCTGTTTTCCCTGGAGAGGTTGTCTATCCAGCTTCCCAGCAAGCCACCATCTTTTTTTCCTCAGGCCTTTATTTTCTAATTTTGGTTTTAATTTAATCATTACTGCTATTTAAGGCTGGACTTTAAAACAAATCCCATGATGTTTCTGTCATAATTTTTGTGTGGTGCTGAGGGTGAACCCGACTGCACATGCCGGCAGGTATTCTGCTGCGTAGGCCACATCCCCAGCCCCTCCCCCGTTTTTCCTCCTTCAGCAAACTCTGACACCGGTTTGCTGTGTTAGTGCGGGATTCCTGGTCTTGTCCTGCCTTATCAGCTCTGGGACACGGCAGTTCTTGTGCCGCCGACTTGCTGTCCAGTCCGTCTCTGCGCAGTTGCGCCCCTCTGTGAAGTCTCCCCGCAGAGTGGGGTTCACACGGTCTGCTCACGCGGACCTGGTTTGCCCCCTTAGGAGCAGTTGTCTGTCATTACGTGTTACATGTTGGCCAGCCTGTACCATTTTCCAGAGGCAGGAAGGGACATCACTTGATGTTGGCACTTAAGCTTGACAGTTCATTGTGGTCCTTTTGTGAATTGTCCTTGGGTCTCAGTGTTGTTCTAGAATGTCTCAGAAGCTGAGTTTAGAATGATTCCCTGCATTTGTGTTCTCCAGAAGCTTTTAAGAGTAAGATAATCTGTTCTTTACGCTGTAAAACTCCCTTGTAAACTTCCTTGACCTGACATTTTCTTACTGGAAAGATTTTGTAACAAGTGCTTCATATTGAATTATTTTAGTTTCTTGTATTTTTATTTTTTATTAAACATTTTAAGTAAACAGTTTTATAACATTTATCAAATAGAAATGTGAAATGAGTTGGCTCTTTCTTAAGGAATTACTTCTTTTAATTTAAGGTGAGATAATAGCTTTGGTTTACATTATTTAAAGAGTCTTTATGCTTTAGGGTTGCATACCAAAACAACAGATAAACTGTCGTACCTGCAGTTTCCTTCACTGTCGGATGGGTTGTGGACAGTGAGTGAGAATGGGTCAGGCTTAACCATAGTTTATGGTGGTTGAACTTAAGTGTAAAGATACCTACGTGGATGTGGTTTTTAAATCTTTTTAATGATTTTGATTTTTAGCTAAATTTTGTTGTGATAGTGTCATGTTACTTTCTTTGAAAATTACCAAGGATTTGTTTATGGACTGATACACAAGCAAGCTTTTAGTTATTATATGTTTGCTTGAAAAGATTATGTCATCCTTAATTATTGGTTGGGGGATCTGTATTAGTGCATTGAATGAAGTTTTTTCATGTTTGGCTTCTCCCTTTTTTAGCACAGTGTTTTTCTTTTGCTAGATCAGATTGTTTTTTCTGTTCCCCATCATCTGCAGATTGCACTGAGCATAGCTTTTTGTATTCTTCTGTGTTCCATGCATTGGTAGTTGAATTTAGACCATGATTATATTCACATTTGATTTTTTTTTCCAAGGCTATTATAGAGTGTCAAGGTGCTTTTTGAGCACAAGACTTGCAATAGTGGTCTTCTTTTTTGTAATGTTAGCAGCTGTGATATTTAGTGATAGAGTCTTTTTTTTTTTTTTTTTTGGAAACAGGATCTGTCTACGTAATTCAGCCAGGTCTTGAACTCAATTTGTAGGCTAGGCCTGGCCTTAAACACACGGAAGTCCTCCTACCTTAACCTCCAAGTGCTGGGATTATAGGCATGTGTTCCTAGGTCTGGCTATATTCTTGATTCCTTAGTTCATTAGCAGTTGGAGAATGATGAATTTATTCTATTTAGCCCTTCATTTACTATCTGGAATACTTTTATAATGATAAACTGCCTCGTGTTTATTATTAATTAATTAATTATTTGTATTTTGAGACAGGGTCTCATTATGTAGTTTAGGCTGGCCTTGATCTCTTATGTAACCCATGCTGGCCTCGAATTCCTGGTGATCCTCTGGCCTCAGTCTCCTGAGCGCTGGGACTACGGGCATGGCTACCATGCGTGGCTCATTTGTTTACTGAGTAGCTTATTTTCCCTTGATTTGCTGGCTTTTAGTACTGTGTTAGTCTAGAGGTAAGCTCACTGGCTTAATCATATTGAATGTTTCAGTCCATGGCAATTATTACTCTTATTGATGTGCAAATTGTCATATCTTCAGTCAGTGGAGGCCTTTTCAGACCCTTTTGGCATGAGTGTGGTCTTTGATAGCTTTAAAAAAAACTCTAGATAAGAGGTTCCAAGTTCATCATATATATTTCTTTGTCCAATGATCCCTGATTCCTTTACTGAGAAGTGGTATTAAATATCACAGTGTAGATGTTAAGGCTATCTATTTCTGTAGGATCAGACTAAGAAAATATTTCATTATGATTTTAGTGGATACAACTAATTTTAATGTAGTATGAAAATTCTTTACTGATTACATTAAGGAGTTGATTTTTATTACCAAAAAAGCATTACTATTGATTAAAAACTTAAATATTTCAGCTGAATTGCTAGTATCTCATTTTCAAAAGCTTGTTAATAAACTTTCTAGCAGATAGTAATAGTTTATTGATTTTTTGATATTATTGTATTAACTAAATGAAAATGTTAACATCTTGAATCAATATTGCGTATTTTAACCTAACTCTGCTTTCACAGACTTTAGTAGTGGTTTTTTAATAAATGTCTCTTTTTTTTCCCACTAGGTTATTTTAGTGTCTGCCAATAAATTGACTCGTTACATTGAGCCATGCCAGTTAACAGAAGATTTTGGTGGGAGCCTCACCTATGATCACATGGATTGGTTAAATAAGAGGCTGGTTAGTACATTTCAATGAGATAAAATATTATTATATATAGATCACACATCTTAACACCTTTATCATGATCAACAAAAAATGTGGAATATTTTCCTTTTCACAGAAATGGAGAAATTCATTGTGTACCGCATCATAGGATAATGTTTGAGGGCAAATAGTCTGGAATTAGATGATGTGATTAGAATCGTGATGCCAGTTGCTGGGTATATGACTTCAGGATGCATTCACTCTCTCTGTGCCTCTTTTTTACACCTCTAGTATGGTAGTAATAATAGTCCTACCTAGTGTATTGTGGGTAAAACAAAATGAGCATACGTTTAAAGCATTTGGAACAATACCCAATGTATTGCAGTTGTACCCGTCAAAGTTACCTGTTGTCTTCAGTAGCATTGATAAAAGTTGTAAATTGTTTTAAGGAGAATGACAGGCTAAGGCAGTGTCTTCAGAGGTAATCTGTTTGATATATGCTTTTCAGAGAATGTCAATTTGAGGAGTAGTTTGACATAATACACTTTTCATTTCTATGTATGCATCTTTTTTTTTGTCTGGACTTCTGCAAACTGCTACTGTGCATAGTAGGACATAATTTTAATGAACCGCTAAAAGAACTGCTTTAAATCAGTTTAGATTAAGTGTTAATATTTTGGGAGAATAATGGTTTTATGGTTATTTCTGAATGGATGACCATTTCTGTTTCTGTCATATTTACAGCAATATCAAAGGTATCTCTACTTCATTAAATAAGTTTAAACAGATTTGTCCCAATTTTTTTTTAGAAATATCTGAAGAAATTGGGTTAAAATTAGAACTAATTTCTTTTTATCCTCTATGCTTATCCAAAAAGCCTAAAATAATTTTTTAATAGCATATGTTTGTGAGCTACACTGATTACACTCAGTGTTTGACAAATATTTAGTATTGCATCTTGGTCATTTTTACTCTTGATCATCTTGATGCTTTTTTTTGTTGGTACCAGGGACCAATTTTGATACATCGTGATTATTTTTCTTAATGTCTTGTGTTTTGCTCTGTAAATTATTTATAGTTTGGTTCTTTGAGAAACCGTGTGATACTTTTTGTGACTTATTTCACTCAGAGAACAAGCAAGCTTTTCTGAATGAAGAATAAAAATAATATTTTAGTATATTTAAATTTTAAAAAATTATTTTTCCATTAAATTTATTGTTAAAAGATGTGGTTTTGTCTTGTCATGTACACTTCTCTACTGTGGTGGTTGAACTGTACTAAGTGACTTCCTGGGAATGGAAGGAATCCTGACTAATTCTGTTGCTCTTAACTAAAAATCCTATTAATGTCTTATTTTCTAATGTTAATTAACTTTTGTACTGTAGGTTTTTGAGAAGTTTACAAAGGAATCTACTTCATTATTAGATGAACTTGCTTTGATTAACAATGGTAGTGATAAAGGAAATCAGCAAGAGAAAGAAAGGTAGGTGGCTCATGGCATATAATGGTATTCTTGCAACGTTGTGATTAATCTAGTAAAAGATACTTGTCAGTGAAAGCTAAAAGAATTATGATAAACAAGTCTCCAGTCAAGATTGATATACAGTATTCATAAAAATTTGCCTTTTGTATAAAACATTGTAATTTGAATCAGCATTTCTTTATAGAAGCTACTTTTTGATGAATAGTAATATATTTACATTTTTATAACTGAAAAATACTAAGTTATAAGAACATTTTTAAAATGAAATATTATATTCTGTGATTCTCTTTTCTGGTAAAATGAAAATGGTTTCAACTTCAAATAAATGATTGTAACTTTATTTAAACATATTAGCACTTTAAATGCCTAGTTTGATGGGCTTCCTCTATCCTTTGTAGAATGAATTAACTTAAAGAATTTATTGTTTTATGATACTGGGTGGGGTAATTGTTGAGTAATATTCTCTATATGTAATTACTTAGATTTGTCATTTTAATAGGTTTCCAATACATTTTACATTATCAATTTTTCTTCTTCTCTTGATCAAGCAGCTTTGTTTCCTCTCTTCTTGATAAAAAGTAGTTTAGGAAGCACATTAGCTCTTTCTGGTCTCTTCATTACTGATCAGTAGGACAATGATTTTTTGTTAGGAAAGTTTTTACTAGGAATCAACAGGCATCCTTTTCTACCTCCTTTGTATCTTGTATATAGAGTAGGCCCTTAGTAAAATGTATCTTTTTATTCCATTATCCAGATAAGTCACATATTAGTAAACAAAAACAAGGTAAAAAGGATGTAAGAGGATCATAATTTTGATACTATATCTTAATTAAACCAGAGTCAGAATGTGGAAACAAATAGCTTGGATGTATGTCTAGTATTACCTTAAGCAGTTACGAGCACTGTTATTCTGTAGATACCACGTGAAAATGCAAATCCTTAAACATGGGTATGTGCATGTGTACAGCTCTTGTAAACACATGGGAATTGAAGGTGTCACACAGAGTACTTTATAAAAATCAGTAGAAGTTAGTCAAATATCTTTGCTTTCTGATTAGTCCATCAAAGTAAGTTTGATGTTTCATATTCTATTCCTCAGGAAAAACATCCAAAAACAGAAAATGAGTCCATGGTCAGCATGTAATGATGTCAACTGTATTTTCCTCCTGAGAATGACAAAGCGTTACAGATTAAGGGTTCTGAGAAAGCACGAAGAAGAGAACTCTGTTTAATTAAGTGCTTCATTAGAATGCCCCATCCTCATGTGGCAGAGGACCCCTTTTCTTTACTAGAAATATCTTATTCTGTGTTTTGAGAAACACTTTGGAAAATGCTGGTTCACCATGTCTACCCTAAAGTGTTACATGACATCTTGTATTTTTGAGTCCTTCTTCAAGGTGCTCAGTGTTATTGCTTAGTTTCTTTTATACTCAGATACTGAAGTTCCCACTCTTGTAAAATTTCATCAGCTTTTTAATGTCAGCCCCCAGGAAGCATCTAGGCTACACAGGAGGTGAGGGTTTAGATCAATTGACAGAAGTGAAGCATTTACTTCAAGGCTGATTAGTTACCACTTATAGCAGCATATTACTTAGCTTTGCTTGGCCAGCCTCCTTATCTCGCCTTAATCTTCTTTTTCCCCTATGCATTTTAAGAAAATAAGGCAGATATTCAGCTACACAAGGAATCTTGATTAGACTCAGGAAGAAAGAGTGTAACTGCTTCCATGTATTTTTACACGTGTGTGCACACATACACCCACACTCCAGTGGTAGAGAGCATATTTATAACTAACAAAAGGTGCTATAGACAAGTAGAAAATTCCTGCATAGTTTTTAATGTGTATTTCTGGGTTGCTGTATTGTTAGAAATGTCATTTTGAACAAGTGTGAATAGTGATTCCTTCGATATATATTAGAAAATACTGTAAATGATAGCAGTTTACTATTTTCAAACAGTGTGATTTTTAAATTTGTTTTGTAACATTGATATTTCTTTGGCTGTTAGTATTTAGTTTATTTAGGTGGACTTCTTTATACATGGGAGAAATTAATGTGGTGAAAATAGAATGTTTTAGGTTTTCATGCATTTATATTTCTGTTTTGAACCTATGCATAAAGAATTTCTTACAGGCACAAATATTAATTTTCAAAAATTATTCTCTTGGTGCTTGCCAGGTCCGTGGATTTAAACTTTCTTCCATCAGTTGATCCTGAAACAGTTCTTCAGACAGGTAAGATGAAAATCCATATTTACTACTATTAGCAATAACAATCCAGTAAAGCAGCTGTGTTGGTTGGTCCATTGACTCAGCATCGATGTGGTACATGTGACAGGAATTTGAGGAAAAATTTGCTACTTCTTTTTGGTTTAAGCTAACTGCATTTTATTAATAGCCTTTGTAGCCTTAAAAAATTATTAACACATTATCTTACCCTTGAAATATTTTGACTTAGCTTTTCCTTTGTTATGTTTTCTGGTACTGCATATTAAACTCAAGGCCTAACATAAGCTAAGCAGGTCCTCTATCACCGCTCTGTATCCTTAGCCCTGAACTTGTTTCTTATTCTGTAAAGCAGAGATAAAAATTGTAATTCATTTAGTTATTATGAAGATGGTTGAATACCCAGTATGTGGCAGGCCTTGTATTTTCATATTTCATTGTTCTAATAACCTTTTGCGATAGTATTTTCTTCTCTAAGAAAGCAAATGCTTAGAGATTTAAAAAAAAAAAAAAAACCCACAGAAATAGCTTGTTCCAGATCAAGTAAGTCTTAAGCTGTCTCACCTTGCCTCAGAGCAGGTTTAAAGGGGAAACCAGAGATACACTATGGTATGGTCACTGTCTAAAAACTCCTAGGACACTGCAGTGACCTTGCAAGCAATGAGTACTCTGTGCTGCATGCTCTGTGTTTTCTGGTAGCTGTTTTGGAATTCTATATGAGCAAATTGGAATTCTTTCCAGTGGAGGTAATTTTATTTGTAATCAAATTTTTCTTTCTTTCTTTCTTTCTTTCTTTCTTTCTTTCTTTCTTTCTTTCTTTCTTTTCTTTCTTTCTTTCTTTCTTTCCTTCCTTCCGTCCGTCCGTCCGTCCGTCCGTCATTCCGTCCTTCCTTCATACCAAGGATCGAACTCACAACCTTGCACTTGCCAGGCAGGTGCTTAACCCCTGAGCTAAGTCCCCAGTCCCTGAAATCACATTTTTCTAATAACAACTCATAATTCTAATCAGAATGTGTGCCAAGCATTGTTTTAAACATTTACATACATTAATTCATTGACTCTTCAGCGCTGTCCTGTGAAGTAGGTCCTGTTATCACCTCAATTTTAAGAGAGAACGCTCAAGAATTAAAAGGTTAAGAAGTCAGTAGCTGTGCAGGTTAGATAGTCAGTAAATGCTAGAGTTAGGACCTGAACCCAGGCAGTTTGGTTTCAGAGTGTGTAAATTCTTTGAAATAATTATTTTGCGCTGTTTCTCTAATGAAAGTGGTATGCATAAGGAACACATGATGGGTAACAGTTGTCAAAGAAGAGAAAATAAATGTATTCTGATATTATTGCCTTTTATGTGTATGTGCAGAGTTTTTGCAAAGATTTAGATAAATTTTAAACATTTGCACAAATATTTGACAGGTATTTTTCCAATGATAAAATGTAATGAAGAGTAAAAACATTTTTGAATATCTTTGTTGCATTGATTCATTTGTCCTAAATTTTCCCAGTGTGAATAGTTCCTTAGAGAACAAAGAAATACTTGTAATCTCTAATTTATGTATAGAACTGCAATAGACTATCAGTAAAAGTACTACTCTATATTTAAAACATAATTCCATGTATATATTTAACATTCTGAAAGCTTCTTATTTTAAGCCATTCAATTAAGGAGCTTTTAAAATTTGTATTTTAAAGTTAACTTTATATGCCTTGTTCTGTTTGCCATTAATTTTTAAGGCAGGCATTAGAAGATTATAAAATGGAGAGGTTTAGAACAATGTGGATGCTTTTTAAAAAACTTAAAATACCTCTAAGTCATAATAAAAGTTATATTTCTATATATAAAAAGACATTTAAAGTTAGGAAGATATTTTATAAATAAAAATGAAGAGATTTTAATATCGGCATATTGTTTAGGGATCTAAATAGTAATCATAACAATTTTATCCTTGAAAAATTTCTTAAACTTACGTTTTGTATGTACCTCCAGATTTTGTTGCCCATTCTGTTAATTTTAATTTATCCGGTGTATGTGCATTTCTTATAATAATTTTCTATAGTTGAACCACATTTAATAAAGTTCTTAGACTACTATGGATTGTCATGAGTCAACAGCTGTTAGGTTGCAAAGGTTTTGTAAATATTATTTTATAGTAGGAATAAAAACTTTCTCCATTCATGCTTATCTTGCGTTCACCTCACTGTCATCCTTTCTTGTAAGTTCTCTAATTGAGAATATGGATCTGTACTGAAATCCTGCAGCATACTGCTTGGATTAGTCCACCAGATGGAAATCCCAAAGTGTACTTTTGCGCCATGAGACATCATTGATTGGCACAATGTCCTGAGTATGAATCCACCAATAAAAAATGCAATAAATGGATAGAAAATTTATAGCTACATATATACAAATGCTACAAATATAGCATACATATATTATGTTATATAACATATAATTGGCATACATATTTATAGTATATGATAAGGCATTTTCATATATTTTCTGTAGCATATGTATAGCATAATATATCTTATACATGGATATTTGCATATTGTACAGTTTTTGTGCTAATTGCATTGTATTACATTTGACCTGCAGGTAGGTAGATTGGTACATGAATAGGTTTTTAAAGCAAAGGACTAGGATTTAGCAGATTGAGAAATGAGAAATGTATTTCTTAATGGGCATTAATTATGAGTATCTTTCATTTGTAAAGGACATGAATTGTTATCCGAATTACAGCAGCGTCGATTTAATGGCTCTGACGGAGGAGTCTCATGGTCTCCTATGGATGATGAACTGCTTGCCCAGCCACAGGTTATGAAATTATTAGATTCACTCCGAGAGCAGTATACTCGCTACCAGGAAGTCTGTAGGCAGCGTAGCAAGCGCACACAGTTAGAAGAGATTCAACAGAAGGTGATGCAGGTAGGTATCTGATTTTAAATATATGTTTTTAATTCTAAATTGTTTTTCCCTGATAATTTCTTAGGTAACTGACTGAATTTTTACTTACATTACAAAGTGAACTTTAGACATTTTCAAATTGGATTCTAAAACTATGTTTAACTAGTATCTTTTATACAAGATAACTGAATTAAAGTAATATTTTTACAGTGATTATTCCTACCTGAGTCCTGCTGTCTTATTTCTTCCCTTCTGTCTTTCCTTCTCTTCGTTCTTTTGCTAATTGAAATAGGGACCATGACACTTCTTTTGAAAGTCTAGTGCTTGGGAAAAGCCGAGCACGCAATTCATGATACCTGTGATATTTTCTTCTGTTGAATGAAACTCTGAAGACCTACTTTAGTGGGTGAATTTTTTCTCTGAAAGGCCAAATATTTATGCTTTATAAACCAATACTGCTTTCCTCTAATATTGTAGGAAAAATGCAGAAACAGACGTGTTAATGAATGTGTGGGCCTTTTCTCCAGTTAAACTTTTGTGTACAAAAATGAGTGATGGATCAGAACTAACTTATTGTTTATATAGTTTGCTGACCTTTGAACTAGAGCATTAGGGTGTCATAGTAAAAAAAAGGTGAAGGTAGGAGTTGGATCATAGAATATGCTGAATTCTAGACAGAATACTGGAACTCTAATCCATGAAAACCACATACACTTTTAAGATTTCTGAACATACTTTAATTAAATGTGACGTTTTCTGTATACTCATGTTGAAAAGCGCTTCTCATAAGCCCAAGTAAGCTTTAGACAGTTTGAGATTATCTTTGCAAACCACAAAAAAATGGGATAACATAGTGATATAAAACTCAGGTTCTGAGTCCAGGTTATCTAGGTGTGTGCTCTTCAAGAAACATGACCTTGGAAAGAAAGTTTTGTATCTACTTTCCTCATCAGTAAACATAGAATGTTGACATTTCCTATCAAATGGGGCTGTCATGAAGATCACAAAATAATTTTTTAATAAGTAGTGTTTGCCAGGTATTGATATAGGGGAATGAAACTCGACCTACTATATGTCAGTATGAGTTTGTGTTCTCTAAAATCAAAGAATGAATTTAAGGAACAACGGAGGTTAAGAATGAAATATATTTACTGAGAGAAAGCAAGCTTCTGCCTGAGCGACAGAGGGGTCCTGAGTAGATTGCCAGGGACACTGTCTTTTCCAGGGACTTTTATAGAGTAAAATCATGAGGTTAGATGGGTCAGAGGTTGTGTCTTAGTTACTTTTTACTCGTCGCTGAGACAAAATACCTGAAGCCCAAAGTTGGTAAAGGAAAGGTTTATTTCTTACCGTTTTTGGAAGTTTCAATCCGTACTCAGTTGGCTCCAAGGCAGGCTGGCATGGCTGGGCCGCAGTTCATGGCAGCTGCAAACAGCAAGCAGGAACCAGCAAAAAGCAAGACACACTTTCTACCTGCCATTACATTACATCTTGGCTCCACCCCTAGGTGGGTGTAGCACTGACACCATCAATCCAAGCACTAGACAATGCAAATGCACAGTGCAAACTCATGAGGCCTGGGGCCCACAGACATAAACCATGACAGGTGGGGAAAAAGGGAATTTGCAAGGTGGGCATAAGGCGGGACAGAATTGTGGTCAACCAATAAGATTAATTGCTCAGATAAAATGGATTAAATTAAGGAACAAATCGGGGAGCAAGTCACTTAGTAAGAGGACCGGCTTAACAGCAGTGACTCTTCCTGTTGGGGGTAGGATGTTGATGCTTGACTTCCTTAGGCTAATAGAGAACTACTTGGACTGTGGTTGTATTTGCTTTGCCTTTTGTCTTGAGATCTGGTTCACAGTGGGAGGTGATTCTCTCTTCCAAGGCTGCAGATATCTGAACTTCTGCTCTGGCTCCTTTGAGGGCTCAGCCCTGTCTGACTGTCTATAATATTTTTAACTAACTGAGCTGCCTGTAACAGTAGCAATTTCTGGCTGTTGAAGTGCAGGCACAGAGAACATGAGTGTTAGGATTCGTGTAGCATTTTTACTTTGCTAAGTACAATATGTAGTCAAAGATAGAGGCAAAGGAATTAGTGTATTGACAAGCACATGTTTGAAATGATGGTTAGGCCAGCTCAGTTGGATAAAGAAATTGGAGAAGAGAGGTGATGATGCCAATATTTATATTTATATTATGTGATGATGGTAGTGAGATTATTTTTAAAAACAGATAAACTTCATTACAGCTCAGCTTTCTTTATTAGGATTACAAGTTAATTGATTGATTCACACATAGTGTTTTCCTGCATTTTTTCATAGATCACAATTTATGGAATGATCTATTTTCCTTATTAAAATGATTCTTGAAATTTAATTATGTAATAACACTTTTTTTGTTACTAAGTTTACTGGTACACAGTACAGTTTAGATATATACACAAAGATCACTTTCGTCATAGGAAATTTGTACCAATACATGATATATCCCATTTCCTCTTTTTTTCCCAGTCCCCTCACATCCCTTTAATCCCTCTTCCAGTCCTCATTTACAAAGCTTTGTTTCCATTTCATCTTTGTATCTTTTCCCCATCTTTCCTTCTCCCCTCACTCCTCTCCCTAGTTTTCCTTTCTTTTGAACCACTTCTTCCTATACACTTTGGTCCTTAGTAACCCTTTTGGTTCTCATATCAAAGAAACAGCATGGTATTTACACATGTGCATCCAATTTACTTCACGTAAGAATGTGATCCCAAAGTGCATCCAATCACCTAGAAACGTTTCAAGTTTATCCTTCCTTATGGCCAAGTAGTGTTTCATTATATTAAAAAACCCACTTCTTTTTTATCCATTCCTTGGTTGATGGGCATTTGGTTGTTCCCAAGATTTTGCTGTTACATACTGTATGCAATAAACATGAATGCACCCGTATTATGTGGTATGATGTTTTAAATTCCTACTGAGTATCTTCCTAGAAGAATTAAAAACATAACACATATTGATTACATAGCATGAACCGTACTATCTTTAGTCTTGCAAATTTGGTGAAAATGTAAAAAAAAAATTTTAAAGATAAAGATGACTATAAAATTGACTGTTTATGTTAAATCCATGAAAACTGACATATATTTATTTATTCCTATCACTGAAAACTTAATGCAAGAGAAATCAATGGCTCTGATAAACTATGTGTTAAGTAGTAACATGAGAGTTATCAGTCACTTCCCATAGTTAAAATTGGCAGCATCAGACCTCATGTGGTATGCAAATATTCTGCATATGGCTGCTGCTGTGATAGCTAAAAATTAGACTTCACATGTTTTTTGGTAGGAGGCAATACCACTTCACTGAAATGTGGTAGCGTTATTCTCATTTATTGTGGCAGTAATTACTGCTAATACTGCAAATAGTATTTCTAGATCATCCATATGCTTTTGTTCCATTGTAGGGAAGTTGTTGATCTCTATACCCTTTCAGCAGGTTGGATGCTTGACATTCCCTCTGTCTGTGTTTCTGCCTGATATGTCCTTACATACTTGCTGATTCTCTCATGTAGTCTTTGAAATCAGCCTGGCTATGAAAGACTAGTAGATAATCACAAACATTTTGGCCCACAAATATTTTAATGATAGATTTTAAAAACTCATCTGCAGAGTAAGACTTTACATATAAATCTAACCATTTGAAGGGTTACATTATTATGAATTGGGCCTAGAACTGTTTTGTAGTAAATTAATATTTAAATTAACTGAGCAAGGTGTTGTGATTGAAATTGTTTTATAATAAAATCTGGCAAAGCACAGTCACCAATGGATTTAAATAAACTTGTTTACTGGGCATCAACCTCAGTTTGCATCACTTTTATTGGAAATACTCACACATTTACTGGGTCTCTATTACTGATATTGCATACTAAGGAAAATTATTTTCTGCATACATTAAAGCTGTATGTGCCTTGACTATGTAACTGGGTTTTTGTGCCAAGGAAGTGTCTTTGCTTTACTTAACATTTATTTTAAAGTTTATGGCTCTGCTGAAATTCCATGCTTAATCCTTTTTGTTCTCCTGTAACAATACCTGAGACTGAGTTATTCTAGAGATTTATGTCTCCCATTACCAGAGACTAGCATGTGGTAAAGGCCTTCTTATTGGGTCACTCAGTGGTAGTAGGTGCAAGGACAGTAGAGCCCATGAGAGATGGCAGTGACTCACATTTCCCCACAGATCCACTCTCAGTAATGATATTAACCCCTGCTTGAGGGTTCTGTCTGCCCCAGCCACCTGGTAAATTTCCACCTCCTAGCACCGATGCACTATGGATTAAATTTACAACATGTGAACTTTGGAGAACATAATGGAACCATATAGCTAGCACATGCTAATGAATTATTTTTCCCCAGTTATCATGATTTCTATTAATGTGCTTCTTTTCTATTTATTCTTTTTTTGAGGGGGGTGGGTATTGGGGATCGAACTCATGACCTCACACTTGCCAGATAGATGCTCATGCTGCTGAGCCAAATCCCAGGTCCTGTAGAGTGTTCTTAAACTTTATATGTTTAAATGTTATTTCATATTGTATAAACTGTACATAATATATTATTGGTTAAAATTTTTAAATATTTTCAGAACTTATTACTGGTAAAGTAATTGCTGAAAATCTTAAAATTTATTTTTCAGTGTATCTGTTACATAACACATGTTAATAAGAAATTATTCTCAAGAAGGAAATGGGAAGTTGTTTTAAAATGTTTATAAAACGCTTTTTATTTCTGTGTTTTAAAGTTTTGAATACAACAGATACTTCAGGGATTTCCTTAAAAAACCCAGAAATCTTACTGGGAAATGTGAGGCGAACTTCATAGAGGACAGAAGGAGTTGGGCTATAGAAAAAATGGCTAAAGCAAAGAGGCTAATAGCTAACAATATTACCTTCTGTGTGAGGGTTTTACATACAGTTATGGACACAGACAGTGGCGCTTTCCGGTAGGTGTCATTAACATTGTTTTTAAGGTGAGGAACCAGTTTGTTACTAGTGGGAAGAAAGCCGGACTTCACAATGAAACTTGTACTTAGTGCTTTCTCTAGCCCAAGGTGATTTCTCATCTGTGCCATTTGTAGAAGAGTAATACCTCTCACAGATAACAGGGCATCTGTGGCTCTGAAGATAGGTACACCGAAGATTTAGGAATGAAAAGCAGAGATGTTGAGGAAGAAACCTTTGTTATTTTAAGGTGGAGTTTTCAGATGAATTTAGCACTCCGAAAATAGTTTAGCCAAAAGACAATTCTAGTGCCTAGGGCTGTTCCAGAGAGCCAGTCAACAGAATTCCTTTGGCTTTTTCATGTTTGAGTTTTTCTCTTTAGCATCAAACTTTAGGAGAAGGTGGAAGTTAATATAGTAATATTTAAGACAGTTTATTAATATTTAAGACACTAGACTGTAAGGACAGAAAACAAGTCACAAAAGATCACTTGCTTGTATTAAGCAAACATTTGAAATGTAGTCAGTTCCACTAATATTTTTAAAAGCACTGGGAAAATTTCTGTATTTTTCAGTTTGCAGTAATTTTAAACAGTAGTTTTATACCTTGCAAAGGTACAGATAAAACCCTTGTTATTAAGTATTTTAGAAATGAGTTTTAAAGCACAATTTTATAATCTACACCAACAGCATTACACCATCTTTGAACCCAAGAAGGTTTTCTGTTTGAAACCTTTCTTAGGAAAACAATACAGAATTAGAGAAAAATGCCATAACTGTTGTCTCGTTTGGTCTATAGTTTTTCATTATATAATTGCTTAGAATTGGTGGAAAATGGAAATACTTGGTGGCAGCGTTGGGGAGGCAGAGCCTGGCAGGTGAGGTAACAGTGGTTTGCGATCCTGTGTCACTTAGATCTCAGGAGGGTCGGCTGGCTGCTGGGAGGCTGGGAGAGAAGTAGGCAGACAGCAGTGAGGAAGTTGGCCTTCATGAAAAAGAGGTTTGTAAAGCCACTCAAGTGTCCTGGCTGTAGCTTCATGGTAAATCATGGGAGTGTTGTAGTTTAATGTTATGTGGAAAACCCAAGATAGAAGTTACTTGTACCCTGAGAATTAGCTGTAGCAACTAAATACAGGGTAATATTGGAAACCCTGCATGTAGAAAGTTCTTGGGATGAGATGTACGTGATTTTTCCTTATGGAGTGGTACTATAATATAATTTTATAAAATGAAAATGCATAACTTAAAAAATTTTTGAAAATGAGTGTATGCTAACCTGGTAACAGCCGAAGTGTGCTGTGGAGTTACACTGCTCTGATACACAGGTCTCATGTGGCTCTGGCCATGGGGTCCATATTAATAAACCACAGACACCTGCTTTCACTTCTTGGGAGCTGCCATAAGGTTAGATTCAGAGTGTAAGTGTGCATCTCTTGCTGAATTCCTTATATACCTAAGTTAGAAAAGTTAAGCTTTGTAATATTTTTGTGAAAATTTCTTTGCTGTGTGATTGATCATGGGTGAAGAGTTAACATATCTTTCTTCCTGCTGGAGGATTTGATCTTTGCTTAGCTGTCTAGCTCTTTTTTTTTGAAAACCTTTTTTCTTGATAATAATTGGAATATCAACTATGTAACTAGGCCATGTTGCTTATAGTAAAAATTATGCCAAGGCCAGACTGGAAGAACTATTAATTTTCAATGCATGGCATAACTTTGGGCATCTTTGAGTTCAGTGACTCTCACACGGGGCATGAAAATTGATGCTGGAATGGTCCCATACCTGGCCATGTGGGTTTTGCCTCCTTATACCTGCATCAGGGATCCAGAAGAGTGACACTTGATCTGTCAGCCTGTTACCCTTCTTCTGAGCTGAGGTAGCGGTGGGGCTTCTTATGGCTCTATTTGGTGATCCTAAAAAGCACCCAGACTATTGCATACTCTATGTTTGTTATTTATTGTCTTTTCAAGTGAGAAGCTACTATTTTAACCTTATTTGTTTATTATTCAGTTTACGATTTGCTTTGGGAAAAGCAGACGGTGAGTCAGGACACAAGCCTTTTTAGTCTTAGTTTTGCTGTAGTAGATTGTTACCTTGGGCAAGTCATTTAATCTCTCTGAAACTCACTTTTCTTAAGTAATAGATAAGAATTTCGACTGATGTAATTTCTGATGTCCCTTCTACTTCCAAATCTTGTTAATTTTCTGGTTCTCTTATCATAAGTTAATTTCTAATCCTCTTTTATAGAAGTATTCCAGATTTCACTTAGTCTAGCAGATGATCAGATAACTGAAAGCTTAAGGTGCTACGCTATACCTTCTCCTAAATTTAGGATTTTGAAATGCTGTCATATTATAGCTTATAGTTCCAAAAGAAACATTTACTGCTTATGCTGAATTTAAATTAAAAATACGTGAGGAATTTTGGGAAGGGAAAACCAAATAGTACGAAACTTTGAAATGCTTTCCATTATATGAAAGTTTCATCTCAACTTTGATTTGCAGGTCGTGAATTGGCTTGAAGGACCCGGATCTGAACAGCTGAGAGCCCAGTGGGGGATTGGTGACTCCATCAGGGCTTCCCAGGCCCTGCAGCAGAAGCACGAAGAGATCGAGAGCCAGCACAGTGTGAGGCTTTTTCTTCTGCTCTGCAAGTTACACTGCTGTCGTTGATGGGCATCGTGGTGCTAAGTGCTAGGTTGCTTTAGACTTTGATATGGGGCATAGGATAAAGCATGTTGATGCTCAGGGGTCATAGAGTACTTTTTGACCACTTTTAGTGCATGCTTATTACTAAGGTTTTGCTTCCAATACAGTTTAATTATATTGTTATTAAAACATATTCCTATGAAATATTAAAAGCTACTTTGACAAGAGTGATGGTACCACGATAGAGGCTTCATCAATAGTCTCTGTGACAGCAGGTCCATCCTTGGTGCTCTGAGGGAGACCCTTCCTGCTTTGCTGAGAGTATCCTTTTGCTGAGAGCACCTGGTGCAGTGGGGAAGTGACAGCTGATTTCTACCTCCACAGAGGACAGAGTACAGAGGACACGGGGTGGTTTTCATTCTCTAGGCACCCAGGGATTCACATTTGCAGAGTGAAAGTGAAAATCAGACAGATCACAGGTGTGAGTGGAGAAATGCAGCGATCTTCAGGTTCGAGGCTATAGCTGTTCAAGAGGATTTAAAGTGCAAGCTCTTGCTATGTGGAGGAACTAGGTATTCTAAGCCCCTACTGTTATAGTTCTGCATTCCTGAGAGAGTAGTCCTTTGTTTTGTGAGTCAGCTGGCTCACCCTCTTGTCCCTTAAGCCATATTGACTCTCATAGTGATTTAGAGTCAGGGAAGTGGCGCTTTCCTGTAAACCCAGCGCTCTGGAGGCTGAGACAGGAGAGTTACTGCAAGGTCAAGGCTAGCCAGAGCTGCATCATGAGGACCTGTCTCAAAAATTCAAGTGGGAACAGGGCCCAGGGATTTAGCTCAGAGGCGTAAGCGCTTGCCTGGCAAGTGCGAGGTCATGAGTTTGATCCCCGGTATCCCCCCCACCAAAAAAAAAAAAAAAAAAAAAAAAAAGAAAAATTCAAGGGTGGAAAAATGTACACACACACACACACACACACACACTGAATACAGAATTGGGAAAATAAAATTTGAATCCATTAATTTCCATGTCTTCATAACTATCTTAAAAAATTAGTTAATGACATTGTTAAACTCTGGACCCAGATGAAGTTTTAAGATCACATGAACATTAAATTCCCACAATGTTTTTTTTTTTTTTTTCTTTTCTCCTCAAATTTCCCAGTTGAAGTAGTAATTAAAAGTTGGGTAGTATTAGAAAATGTGTAGCAAAATGAAAGAGTAAGTATTATGCTTTCCCTGAGACTAAATTCAAATGAATTAGTCTTGTCATTTTGAAGGATACAGTATATTTTAGTGATATTTAATTATTTTTCTTTTACATATACACTGTAGTAAAAAAAAAAAAGAAATATATATTCTATGTTGTTTAGTTCCCACATTTTTTAAAAGTAATTATCCTTCAATATGATTTAGCAGTACTTGTAGATAATCTTCATTCTGCACTGTAAAGAGTCGTAATCTAGTTGAAGGAATTATATGTAAGAAAACTGCCTCATTATTTGGAATTATCTGAAGATAGTACATATGTTTTCTTTTCATTTTTTGTAATTAGTACTTGGAAGATATTTTAAAAATGAAATCCTATAATGGAAAATTTATATGTTTTATGCATTTTCCAGATTCCAACACAATTTTTCCTTTTATGATAAAATTTGAATAACTTATGTTTAACTTGTAAGTCCTATTCCTGAGAGTACAATCTTCTAATTCTCTTAGTACTTTGAAAACAATGTAAGGCTATTGATTTTTTGACATGGATTGTAATTTATTTGAAATTCATGCATTATTCTATATGGTTGGATTCTATAATTTTGTTTCCTTACAAGATTTTGAAGACTGTACTTGCTGAAGAACATCATAGACTTCATCCAAAAAAACTTAAGAGTGTTCTGAAAGTTTTATTTTGTTTTGTTTGGTGAGGTAAATCTCACTATGCAGTTCAGGCTGACCTTGAACTCACTGTGTAGCCCAGGCTGGTCTCAAACCTCATGGCAATCCTCCCACCTCAGTCTCCTGCGTGCTGGAATTACAGGCTGCCTCGCTATACCTGGCTCAGGTATAAGGGTATATAACACACTAGGATCATCAACACAGATTATTTTTAAAATATGCCAAGAGAAATAGTTATAGTTAGAAATTGAATTTACACATTATAAATTCATAAAAGAAAATAAACACTATACATTGCATATAATATGGATAAAATTAAAAATTTCTACCCAGAGATCCTAGGTTCAATTTTTTTGTATTTTTATTATAAAGTGTTAAAAATCAGCTTAAAGAAACCAACTATTTATGGGTGACCCTTTCTATGTGCTTAAACTTACTTACATGTGGAATCAGTATGCAGAACTTTTGAACTACAGAGCACCACATGCTGGCGTGTAGGTTATCTGAATTTTGTTGTTTAAATACTGTAACCTTCTTTTGAAGATGAAGAAACTGAGAGGACTACATTTTTTGATCAGTTGAGTAGCTGGACCAAAATTAAAAAGAACCAGACCTCTTGACACCCAAGTGGCATCCTTTCTGTTTCTCTTGGAGAAGTCTACTAAATGTCATGGATAACCTTAAAAGATAGTGTTATTTTAATTACTAAATTCTTATACTCTTAATTCTTGAGGACATATATATGTTGATATATGTTGACATCTGCATTCACACACAGAGCCCTCAAAGAAACAAAAGCCCTGCCGTAGCTTTGCTTCCTTTAAACTGTGTGCATCTGAGATTGGCTGCAGCAGTGGGAAGTGGGTCGGGGACAGTGGGAGTGTATGGGGTTGGCCGTGAGTCTTGTGGCTACTGAAACAGATTGGTGCGTGGAGTTTATTACCCCGGACTTTCTGCTTTTTAGCTGGCTTCATACCTTCCGTTTTAGAGTAAGTTGGGGGTTTTTTTGTTTGTTTTTGTTCTGTTTTTTAAAAAGAGAGAATTACACGATTTTAACCGATAGGTGGCACTGCATTGTCACCTTGAAGATAGGTTGACAGTGGCAAAATGTGTTAGCTTATGAGGTTTAATATATTCTGATATTTCTCTACAAGTATTCTTTGCTCTTGGTAAATACAAGTCAGCTGTTTAAGGCACTCATTGAAAAGTTTCAGGTCTTAAGAAATGGTAATGACAAAATTCTAGTATTGATAGAAGCTGGCAAATCTTACTGTTTTATATTATAGTACAATGTCAGGTATTGAATTTTAGATTGCACGAAAAGAGCATAATGCAGAAATAAAGCTAAAACTCAAATACATTCGGATATTTAAAAGTAGTGCCAAAATACAGAACAATGAAAATTCTAACCTAGCTTTCATTAAGGACTGGGAATGAGAAGTTTCATTTTTTAAAATACAGCACAACAAAAAAGTACAAAGGTACATGGAAATAATTATAGTGTCTGATAATAAATTTGAAAGTATTTTGCTTCTATAACAAATGCAAGTATCTTTTTAAAAGTTTTATAAGTATATGTTTGTAATACATGACGTTTACCTTCCTCTTAGGAGTAGGTGCATGTTCTCAACACATCTTGCTGCCCCCTTTCCTGTCCCATCTACCTCTGCAACCCTCTGTCTCTTAGGTCCCCTTTTCTCACTTTTATTGATACTATTTTTAGTTCTTGCTTACAGATGCAATGTTTATGTCCATTGACGGTACCTGATACATGTACATGACGCATCTTAAATCTTTCTGCTCTCCCAACCTGACTCCTGAACCCCTTCCTATTTATAAAAGATCTGCTTGTTTCCTTCTGTCAATCATTTATTTCCCTCTATTTGTATTTTGACTTAAATGAGACATACCATTCATTCCACATTGTACTTTCTAGGTGGACCCATTTTCCTACAAATGTTTCAAATTTATCATTCTTAAGAGTCAAGTAGAAGTATTCCATTACGGTATAGCTACCGCATTTTCTTTATTCATTAGTCTGTTGATGAACATACGAGACTGCTTCTAGGATTTAGCTATTATGAATTGTGCTGCTGTAGACACTGATTTGCCCTTTTGGAAAGATAGCTGCAAGGGGAATAGCTGGGCCAAATGGTATTTTCAGTTTTAGTTCTTTGAGAAACCTGCATGCTGATTTCCATAATCGTACTAGTTTACTTTACCAGCAGTAATGTAGGAGGGTTCCTTTTTCACTGCAGCTACACCAGCGTTTATTATTTGAGTTCTATGATTGCCATTCTTTCTGGTGTGAGGTGGAATTTTAGTGTCATTTTAATTTGCATTTTTCTAATGGCCAGAGATGTGCTTATTTGGCCATTTGTATTTCTTCTTCTGAGAAGCATCTGTTCATTTTACTTGTCTGTTCTTGATTGGGTTTTTTATTTGAGGGGTATCCCCTAATGTTTGAGTTCTTTATGTATTCTAGATATTAGTCCTCTGTCTGAGGAATAGCTGACCATGAAAATTTTTTCCATTCTATAGGTTGTTGCTTCACTCCATTGTTTGCGTGCTGCCTTGGCTGTGCAGAAGCTTTTATTTTATTTTATTTTATTTTTGTCTTTTTGAGACAGGGTCTTGCTATGCAGTTCAGGCTGAACTTGGGCTCACTTTGTAGCCCAGGCTGGCCTCAAACTTGCAGTGATCCTCCTGCCTCAGCCTCCTTTGTGCTAGGATTACAGGAGTGCACCACTGTGCCCAGCTAAGTTTTTTTTATTTTATTTATTTATTTTTTTTAATCGGTACCGGGGATTGAACTCACGACCGCCTGCTTGCAGGGCAGGTGCTTATGCCGCTGAGCTAAATCCCCAGCCCCCCAGCTAAGTTTTTAAATTTGATGCAGTCCCATTCTTTGCTTCTTGTTATTTCTTGTACAACTGGAATTCTATTCAGGAAGTCCCCACCAGCACCTAGGCCTTCAGGAGTTTTGTCTTTCAGTAGGTTCATTGTTTCCATTGTAATGTTAGATCTTTGTTGTGTTCTGATTGTAGTTTAATACTTTGTGAGAGATGTGGGTTCAGCTGACATCTTCTGCTTGTGGGTAGCCAGTTTTCCCAGTCAGTTAGAGAGGCTGTGTTTCCTTCACTACACACTTTTGGCTCCTTTGTCAGAGAGCAAATTGTTGAATGTGTCTGGGGATGTTTCTGCATCCTCTGTTCCACTGATCCACATCTGTTTTTATGCTATTGACTTGCCATTTGTATCACAGATACTTTATAGCATACCTTGAAGCCAGGCTCCAAATGGTAAAAGTCCTCATCTCACCAAATGGCACTGCCAGATAACCTAAGAGAAGGTCCAAATGGTAGGCACAGTAGGTCCTGGAGGCACTCTCCAGTGGAAACCTGGCAGGGTGTGTCAGCTCCCCAGCCAACCTGTTTTCCTTTTACCAGCCAAACTCTTTATAGGTTGTTGATGCCAGGAAAGGAAGGCGCTTTCTAGGTGCAAAAGTGTCCCTGGCAACTGTTGTCCTTGGAGTCCTGGCCCTGGGTTCAGGTAGTCACGAGCACTCTGTCCCTTTTCCCAAGTGCTTGCCAGGATGCCTTGCAGGTGCTGGGACTTTATTCTGCATGGCTGTACCAAAACTGTCTCTAGCCACCTGGCTTCATATGCTTAGGTTCCTTTGCTCGCCGCTGATCTAAGGAGGCTGCGTATTTTGGTAAAAGGCAGGGAGGAGGGGACTTACTCAGCGCTGTCTCCAAGGACATGGAGGGGCCCATTTGCCTCAAATCACCATCTCATTTCTATTTTCTGGGTGAGTATGTGGGAGGGAAGCACAGGATAAGCTTGTGTGGAAATGTCAGTCTCCGAAGCCCTCTGGTATCCTCCATAGAGGCCATGCTGGTGTGTTGTGCCTCGTTGAAAGCAACAGAGCAGGTTTTTATCGTAAATCAAGACCGCTTTCCCAATAGAGTGCAGTGGCTTTTGTCTACCGCGTTGGTAGTGTTTCTTGCCTCCTCCACCGAGATTGCTGTTTGATGGTGCAGAACGTTAAGAACTTCCCTACTTCCCTACTTCCCCAGCTGCGTGTCTCCCATATCTCATGGGGTTGCTGTGTCACTGTTGACTGTTCCTGTTCTAAGCTTGAGCATTCAAACTTGTTTCTTACCACCTAAATCTTAGCCCCACATCCTGGTGTTGACTTTTTATTTTGCTATAAATTAATCATTTTGCACACAATAAATATATGTAAGAGGCAGACCAGAGAATGGCCATTATGAATTAAATGCATTAAACTGTATCTACAGTTCTATACATGTTATGTTTCTCTATTTTCTTGGAAGAGGCATTTTGATTAATTTTACACGTACATATATATGAAGCCAGGCCCCTCTTCCGGCAGTATTCCAGACAGAAGAATTACTTCTTTATGGCAACTACTGTCAATAACAACATTATCTCCAATTTCAGTGTTAATTTCTTGAGTATTAATTTTTTACATTGTGTGTACATCCTTGGTGAGCTAGCTAGAATCTGCATGTATTTTACAGCTGCACTCCAGGAAAAAAATCAGCTCCACAGTGGTGGTTCTTACAGTGTAGTGGACCAAAAACTCCTCAGAGGTGCTTGTTTAAATGCATAGTTCAGGGCCTCACCCTCAGAAACTCTGCGTAGGTGAGGAGAGAACCTCGGGGATTTTAATGAGCATCCCGGGTAATCTGATACAGGCAGTTCTCTCTGAGAAGTACCACCATGGGACTCTAATCTTTTCTTAGAGTCATTGCTGCCTCTACTTCAGTGAATTAGAATTTATTTAGTGCATTAGCTGATTTTCTAAGTACTATAAATGAGATAGTGAAGAATCCCTTTTTGGAGACCATGAGTGATACTTTTAATGGATAATATTTTTGCATTTCTAAAGTCACCTTAATCATTATAATAACTGTAGTTTCAAAACATATTTTATATATGTTACTAAGTTTATAAATAAACCATAAAGTAAGTAAAGCAGGTATTTCTGTTACCATCCGATAGAGCAGGATTTCTGGACCTTAGATGAGTCTTTCTGAAGGTATACACAGGAGGCAGAGAATCCAGGTCTGGGAATTTGTGAATCAGATGGAAGTAAGGAGCTAGGGCATGGGCATAGATTATATGGTGGTGAAGGTGGTTACAACCTTGTACTAGCAGTGGAGGAGGACGAGAGGCTGCCAGTTGCTGAATCCTGAACTGCTGAGGTTGGTGGCTTGGTAGACTCCACAGCACTGTAGGTGTGAGCATGCTAAAAAGGGGAATTGGAGGCACTGCCTGGGCATTGAAGCTATACAGTTAAATGTGATAGTTGTTAAGGTCATTGGAGAGGACAGCTGGAGCTTGGGGGAAGGTCAGTATGCGGAAGGAAGAAGAGAGGAAGTGAGAGAGGAAATCAGGATCTGAGTTGTGAGTGTCCTAGATGTCTACATGGTGGACACCACGAAGAAGGCTGGTCCTGAGAGGAAAGCAGGAACTGTGGCTACACTGCTTGGCAGATGAGATGCAACAAGCAAACCAGAAGGCTGTGATTCAGCAGCATGTACCTCACGGGAGGTGTGGTTTTTGAGAGAAGGAGAAAAAGTAATCTAGAAGTAGTAAGGAATTTAGGCAGCTATGAAATCTACCTGCAGACTTACTGTATGTTGTTGAGTATGGAAACAAAATCAGTAATCAGCTTGGGGGAGGGGAGGGCTAACCGCTTTCATTGAGTTGGGGAGGTTTCACCTAGAACAGAAAGAAGGAAGCATTTAGAGGCCAGGATGAGGAAACGGGAGATTGCTCTGTTGGCAGATGGTTACGTTCTGAGGATGGTAGTGATGGGTGAGGGAGAGGATAAAGGAACTTTTCACCCTGAATTTAAACAGTTTTGTCTTGCAGAAGTGCTCATATGTATATGTTATTTAGTTTATCCAGGAAAGTCATAAAATATGTGCTAATGTGATCCTAAACTGACTTTGCAACATCTTGTTTACAGGAATGGTTTGCAGTATATGTGGAGCTTAATCAGCAAATTGCAGCACTCTTAAATGCCGGAGATGAGGAAGATCTGGTGGAACTGAAGTCCCTGCAGCAGCAACTTAGTGACGTTTGCTATCGACAGGCCAGTCAGCTGGAATTTAGGCAAAATCTCTTGCAAGCAGCTCTAGAATTTCATGGTGTTGCCCAAGATGTAAGTGTCTTCTCTGATCCTTTTTCTTTCTTTCTTTTTTTTTTTTCAAATGATCTGAACAATCTACATATAATTTTTCAGGTTTGCATGCCTTCTAATTATTTTTTTACAAATAAAATAATACGCTAGTGGGGTTGATGAGATGAAATTCTTTGATTTAAAAAAAAAATTGTCCTTCTGCATGCAGTTAAACCTTTTATTGTCTAACTAGAGTACTCCAAAGTAGTAGATATATTTCACTTTTACTGTTTCACAGCATGTGTGCTTTTTAACATAGATGAAAGTGACAACAATTTTTTGCATTTCACTGGCCTGGATGTACTTCTTTGTCTCTCTGATGCATGCATCTGTGTGTCCCATCTTCCAGATAACATGTATTCTGATGATTTGTCCCTGTCTTTTAACAGCATAGTCTTTCCCAGTGTAATTGTGATAATCTCATCAGATGAACCTCATTAATCATTACACTCTGTAGATGCTGATTACATCAGGGTTATCTCTTTGGTGTCCCTCTGCTTTAGTTGTCTCAGCAGTTGGATGGCTTATTAGGGATGTTGTGCGTAGATGTAGCACCAGCTGATGGAGCATCGATTCAGCAAACTTTAAAACTGCTTGAAGAGAAGCTGAAAAGTGTTGGTAAGCAGATTTTAAAAATGCTGAAACATGAGTTCTTTTAAAAAGTATCATTACATAGTTACACAATTAAGTCAGCTTATACTGAACTAATTATTACTTGTAGAGAACACAGGGGAAAAGTATAAAAAAGTTTCATTCCCTTGAGGGGGTATAATTTGTGATAAAATTTTTATTTTCATTGTTGATAGGCACTCCTCCCTTCATTGGGCCTTTAGCCTTTACTTGTTTACCCAGCCATATCTACAGGTGCTATGTCTTGCATATCCAAGAAACAGTTACTTGTAGTGCATGCATAAACTGTAATTAGTTGTGAAGTGTTCTGTGATAAACCCTGTATGCCCCAAACTGTGTTATGCAGTGATTTTTGTTGTTGCTATATCCTAACCTTGTGGAAAAATAGTTGGTTTGGTTCTGTGCGCTTGTTTCTCCACACTGGGAATGTTGTCAAGGTTGCACAGTCTCCAAAGGAAGAGTGGTCTGACTGCATTAAGCTAAATGCTGTTGGACATCTAGGCCTTTACATGTCCTTGCTGTAGGACATACAGTGAATGCCCCAAGGTAGGGATGTAAAAATGGAAAGGGCGAGTCTACTAAGGGGAACGAGAAAGAGGAAGTTAAGACAGAATTAGCAGACAGTGGTGAATGTGATTGAACCAAATTAATTAATTATGGAAAACAACTTCTGGGAATTATTTTGAAAAAAACATTTTTATTATCACTTTACTTGAAACCTTTGATAATTTAACCAATTAGATGCATACTACATATTTAATATGACATAAAATTTATTTTAAAACAGCAGAAGTTTTCTTGAGCCACGTGTTCTTCAAAAAAGAATTTTTGCACACATTTCTGATTTGGAGTATTATAGATGTTTTCTGTGTCCTGCTTACAGTGCTAAGCATCCTTTTACATCGATAATACATGGTAGGAGTGTTTTGAAATCTTGTAAATCCTACACTTTTGTGTGTGTGTGTGTGGTAAGGACTTTACCACTGAGCTGTATCCCCGTGTCCCTTTTTTATTTTTCGTTGACACAGCATTCTGCTAAATTGCCCTGGTTGCCTCTAGTTTGTAATCCTTCTCTGGTACCTGAGTAGCTGGCATTACAGGCATGTTTTGTTTTATTTTGTTACTGGGGACTGAACCCAGGGCCTCCTCATTGAGTGACATCTTCAGCGTTTTTTCTTTTTTAATTTTAATTTGAGACAAGGTCTTATTACATTGATAAATTGTTCATATTGAACTTGGACTTGTGATTCTTCTGTCTTAGGCTCCCATAATGCCAGGACTACAGTTTTAAACAAAGTAGTTGAAATTCATAAAAGCAAAAAAGCAAAAAATAGAAAAGAGCTTATTTGTAAAAAATAGAAATATTCTACTTTCTTAGTATTTCACTTTAAAATAGCATTGTCTGTGGAGATTTATGTTTTAAAAATTCTCTGTAGGGAGAATGTGGCTCAAGAGAAAACTCTGGTCCCTATTTACTGGTCCCTATTTGTTACTTGAGGTGTTTGATGCCTAGAGAGCTCCATCCCAACATGGTCTAATGTATGAAATGTTTATAGCTGGAATCCAAGTGCAGTGTCTGCTGAGAGGATTTGAGGGAGGGGCGATAGCAGTTTAAGAGATTAAATGTAAGTAACTTTTGTTTTAGATGTAGGATTGCAAGGTTTGCGTGAAAAAGGTCAAGGTCTCCTGGATCAGATCTCCAATCAGGCATCCTGGGCCTATGGAAAGGATGTAACCATTGAAAATAAAGAAAATGTGGATCATATACAAGGAGTGATGGAAGATATGCAACTTAGAAAACAAAGGCAAAGTTTGACTGTTAATGTTAAAATTTATCAAGATAAATAATAAAATGAACATTATATAATTTATATTTTACATAGAGATTGAAAGTTCTTAGCTCATATACCGTAGCCATGTAGTAGGTTTGTGGTAATTGTAATAATTTTGTATATAATTGTACTAACAAATAATTGTAATTATTAGTTCAGTTAATGAATACCTTTTCCCCTTTTTTATTGTTAGTAAGAATTTCAGCTATACTCAAGTACACCCTATTCTATTACCTTGAGTCTGCTTTGTTTGAAGAAAACCTTTTGGGAGAAATGTACTTTCCATTTAATTTAATTTAATTTAGAGTGTTATTGAATCTGTCATCTTTATTGATCTGTTTATCTCATGTCATACATCCATTTTTTCTCATGTTTACTGTAGAAGGGTTGGAAAATGGATTAATGATGATACTTAATTTAATGTGATATAGAACTAGGAATTTAAGGGATTATTTGGAAACTCAGTTTACAATGCAACTGCTCTTAGAAAGCAAAAAAAAAATTAAGAAATCAGAGATTAACTTTATACAGGCATGTGTACATCCATCATGGTAGTGTGAATACTGATCACTCAGACATTTTAAAGTCTTTGCCAAAACCTCACAGAGAACTCCTCCTAGAAGGAGGCAGCCAGGAGGCAGGAATGCCTGCCCCGGGTCTGCGTACTCTTCACACAGAGTCGAAGCCCGCTCATCTCACAGAGCCCAGCTGCCCGATGGACTTGTTCCCAGCATGGTCACATCCCTTCTCTACTCGAAGTCTTCCTCTTAAATGCTTCACTGTCTCTTACCTCAGTTGTACTGAAAAATACACATAAGTAGTGATTGTATGGGGATGTGTATCTTCCCCTTCAGCTGCCTGGGTTCTGGCCTCTCTTTCCTGAGAGGAAGTCACGTGCGGGTCTGCTTTGTGTTCTTGCTGCTTTCAGGTTCCTCTTGACCTGTGTGCAGTGTGACCTTTCTACCCTTGCCACTTCACTCCATTACTCCTGTTCATGTTACCGGCAACTTCTGATCACCATGTGCAATAAAACATTTAATGATCTTAACCAGAACTCAGAATATTTTAGTCCTGATATGCTTGGTTCTAAAAAGTATTGGACACAGCTGACCTTTTCTTTCTCCACAGGCCTCCCTGCCAACCTTGCCTTTCTTCAAAACACTTTCGGGGTCCTCTTTCTGTCACTCAGTTTCCCCTTATTTTATTTTTTTGTTTTTTCTCTGATGTTTTTGTCCCTTCGCTGAAGTCACTTTTCCAGTTTTTTTTGAGCCCAAATTCTCCTTTTTGTGTTTTCTGTCTGGGCAGTCTGTCTTAATGACGTTTAAAATGATCATACTCTAGTAGCCATGACCCTTACTAAGCCCTTTCCTGTGCCCTAGACCCATAGTTCAGGTTGGCTGCTTAGTATCTGCTATACCTACCCCATAAACTCCTCAAACCTTGTGTGTCCAAATTAGAATAATTTCCCCCAGAACTTGCTGTCTTCCATTTTGAGTTCAGGTTAAAATATATGAGCTACCAAACTTGGAATTTATCCTAAAATCTTTGATCTTTTTCATCTCTTGCACCTAATCAAATGACCCAGTTCTGCTGCCATTGAATTCTTTATTTAGGATTTTATCTCATCTGCCTCTGGCCTTGCTCCTCGTCAGTCAGTCGGTTGTACACTGATCTGCATACAATATAAAGATTGTATGAAACCTCCTCCAGTGACTTCCTATTTTGTTCTGATTAAATCCTGTCTCCTTGAAATAAGTGTAAGAGACTATTCATCATCCATTCCTTCCTAATCGTATTTTCTATAACTTTTCCACGGAATCACACAACTGTCTTCAGTTTCCTTGAACGCTGAATGCTATTTCATGTATCCATATCTAAGAATACTTTTTTTCCTCAAGCTGTGTGTTACTGGGTTCCTATTTATTTTTCAAGAATAAGTGATACCTGTCCTAGAAATCTTTTTAGGATTTCTAAAACAAGTGAGTCACTTGCTCCTTTCTATTCCCATAAAGCCTTTTGTATAGCTCCATAATAGCACTTATCCATCATCTCCTAAACAGAGTTTCTCGATAGTGGAGACTATATCTTGCTTTCTCAAAACCTGACACACAATATGCTGAATATATATCACCTCTGTCATTAAATGAGCCTTACATGATTTTTTAGTTTCAGATTAAAAGTAGTAATTATCCCTTAACTTTCAGTCCTTGTAGACTTGTTTATCCACATTGAATCTTAACGTTAGACTCTGACTTTTATTAAGAACATGTTTTCAAAGAGCAGCCTTCTGATAACTACTTTTGAGTTGTTACTGAGCTTTGAGGACATTAGCCGTAGTAGGAGCCCAGTACCTGCTGGGTAACTTGTTACAGGTGTTTGGCAGTGCAGCAAGAGCGCTCATTCCCACCTGCAGAGCATGGAGTTGCATCAGGATGAAGGGAATAAGTTAAAACCAAGTCAAAGGTCAAGTCACCTTTAAACTCTCACCTGTATATTATTGAGGCAGATGCTATATTTAGAGATTAGAAGATGTTCTAAATTCTGTTTCTTTCCACAAAAGGTTGATGAAATTTTTTTCCCTTAAGACTGCAGATGTAGCTTTTTAAATTTAAATTCAGAATTAAATAGAATTCTGAATAATACAACTTAGTGAAAAATGTTACTTAAAATTTTTTCTTAGTACATTATCTTCTAGTGTTTGAGAAACTTTACAATTTTAACTTTGAATTTTGTTTGATGTAGATTGACAGTGGAGATTCCTTTGGGTTTTAGTGTGCTGTTACACGTTTGCTTTGCTTCAGTATTTTACAGAAACCATGCTATCTTCAGGAAAATTTGTCATAGTCTAGGGATTTAGCTCAGTGGTGTAAGTGCCTCCCTGGCAAGTACAAGGTCATGGTACTTCCCCCCCCCCCCCAAATTTGTCATTCAGTATAACTCAGGTATTTTGAGGTTTTGGTGTAACATAGATGTAAGAATTTTAAGACTATCTGAAATAATTGCAGTCTGTAGTGTTGTGCAAGTTAGTAAAAGCCAAAATGTTGAACTAAATTTATGTTTGGATTCATTAGATGTGAAGACATGGTAGATGTGCGAAGGTTAAAGATGCTTCAGATGGTGCAGCTATTTAAATGTGAAGAAGACGCTGCCCAGGTAAGGACCAGTCAGCCACATGATGCGGTTATTTTTAGAGGATTGATTTCATTTTATAAACAAAAATATACCACATACAGTCCTAACAGAGTAAATTCATTAAGTCAGATTCTAGATTAGCCTGTTGAAGGATTTGGTATTTCCAGCTAGTTTACTGACCTCATATGACTTCTCAGTGAAATCCTCTGCTGAGCTAGAGATTGAGAATAATTAGTAGTTATTATTGACTAGGTCATTATTTACATCTCAGAGTGAAGAGTAATAAATCACATTGCTTTGTACCCACAAGATAATTATCAGTACCACACAAGCAGCTTGATGTCTTTGTATAGCTAACATCAGAACATCATGTTACCTTGATGTAGAGGAAATTCATGATTTCATATAATAACATGAATCTGTAATGAGGTCCAAGCAGATACGTATTACAGAACTATGTGATATTAAAGAGTGTGTCTTAGTTACTTTTTACTCATTGCTGAGACAAAATACCTGATGCCCAAAGTTAGGGAAGGAAAGGTTTCTTTTATATAGTTTTTGGAGGTTTTAGTCAATACTCAGTTGGCTCCAAGGCAGGATGGCATTGCAGGCCACAGTTTATGGTAGCTGCAAACAGCAAGGGGAACTGGCAAGAGAGAGAGGCATACCTTCTTCCCGCCATTACGTCATACCGTGTCTCCACCCACTTACACCACCAATCCAAGTGCTAGACAATGAGCCAATCACAAATGCATAATTGCATGAATCTTGAGGGCTACTGACACAAGCCGTGACATTCTCTCCCTGGCCCCATGCACATCCTTTATATAAGAAACATTTAATCTGTCTCCAAGAGTTATCAGAGTCTTACCTGTTTTAGCATTGCTGAAAAGGCTGTCTTAAGTCTCCTCTAGATCTATGGCAAACTGTTAAGTGTAACCTCCTGTATAAATGAAATAAGGTTAAACATTTTTGAAATGCAAAGGCATAAGATAAACATTACCATTTTAAAAGTTACAAATGGGAATATAAAAGACTGAAAACAAAACAAGTCTAACATCCAGCAATGTGAACGTTAAGTCTTAGAATTTTATGCTCAGCATTTAAAGCAATCTGGTTGTAAGCTCTAAAAAGGCTTGGATGATTTTACCACTATGGCACTTTTAAGGATTTTAGTTTTTTTTTTTTTTTTTTTTAAGCTTTTCTCAAGAAGTAAGCCCCCTCTGCTCCATTTTTGCAGCTTTTCTTGGATGATCCACATTTTGGGCTTTTTTAAACTTTTGGGGTTCCCACTCTATCTTTGACTTTACCCTTGTATCTTTACATATTGCCCTCTCAGGGACATACTGCTTGGCCTCCCAGGCCTTTTGCCATCTAAGTGGAAGCTGTCTTACCCTCAGAATTTGTGCATTTTCCTTGCACAAATCAGCATCGTGTGGATGCCACCAAGGTTTGCTGCCTGCTGGAGCAGTAGCCAGGCTTGTCTCTCTTGGTAGAGTGGCTGGATTGCTGTGCTGTGGTGAATCTGATTGTGAGGAAAAGCTTCTCTGTGTTGTCACCATTTTGGAACCTCACGTGGCCTCTGTTGCCATTCTGGAGCACAGTGCTCTACAGCTTTTTTCTTTGAGCAAATTTTTTCACTTTTGTGGTTTTGAGGCTGCGAAGGATGGAGACCCTCTGCTTTCTGGGATGCCCCTTGGCTATCTTTCTTATTTTTCTGTTTTTTCTAAGCAATCAAAGTCTCAGTTCTATCTTTACATTCCACAGCTTTCCTGGAGTTTTTCTTCTGGCCAGACTCACAGCATTGTAAATGCTGGGCTCTTTGCTCTTGATTTGCAACATAAATCTGGCTAAAAGTCCCCAACAGTAGCCGTGTCACAGCATCAGTATTTGGCTGCCTTGGAATTTTTTCTCCCAGATTAATCAGTCTATCACGCTTAATCTTAGTCTCAGGCATAGTCTCTGGACACGAGCAAAATGCAGACAAACTTTCTGCCAAGCCATAACATGTATCAACTGGAGTCCAACCAGCCTTACTCCCAGCAGAAACTTTTTTTTTGTCTTTTTCTTTTTTATTGGTACCAGGGATTGAACTCATGACTGCCTGCTTGCAAGGCAGGTCCTTATGCCACTGAGCTAAATCCCCAGCCTCTTAGCAGAAACTTTTTGAGCCTGGTCTTTACCAGCAGGCTTTTTGTCAGAAGTCTCCTGAGCTGACCAGAATCTCCTCTGCAGAACAGCTTTAAGCTGTTCCAGCTCTATGCATGTAGGTGACATTTCTGAACCTTTTCACACTCTGCCTACAAGCCATTTCCAAAGGCTCTTGAGCCACACACATGGTCAGGTACAGTCATAGCAGTGACCCCACTCCTCTGGTACCAAATTCTGTCTTAGTTACTTTTTACTCGTCGCTGAGACAAAATACCTGATTCCCAAAGTTAGGAAGGAAAGGTTTATTTTTTTAAAGGTTTTGGAGGTTTTAGTCAATGCTCAGTTGGCTCCAAGGCAGGGTGGCATGGCAGGCTGCAGTTTATGGCAACTGCAAACAGCAAGGCAGAAACTGGCAAGAAAGAGAGACACACCTTCTTCCCACCATTATGTCATATGCTGTCTCCACCCCTAGGTGGGTGTAGTACTCACATTACTGATCTAAGTACTAAACAATAAACCAATCACAAACGTATAATTACATGAGGCTTGGGGGCCACTGACATCCACCATGACAGAGTGCTTGTCTATTGTTTTTTTGCCTTTATATTTCATAAAAAATGGAGAAGTAAAAAAGTCATTAAATCTCATACTATTGCATTGAATGAAATAGCTATTAAGAATTTAGGTAATAGCATATAGATTCATTGATCATATGATAAGAATGTTTGTGTGAAGATAATGTTTTGACATAATAAGTACTGTGAATCCAGCTTCACTGCTGTGTGTTTTCATTCAGGCTGTCGAATGGCTGAGTGAACTGCTGGATGCTCTCCTTAAGACCCACACGAGACTGGGCGATGATGCCCAGGAAACGAAAGTTCTCCTGGAAAAGCATCGAAAATTTGTTGATGTTGCACAGGTGCAGAACTGCTTATTTTCCTTTACTACAGGCTCAGTGTTTGAATAACTTTATGCATGATTGTAGTGGAACTTAACCCTCCTAGTCAAAGAAGTTTAGTCTTCTTATTCTGGAGTGATCACAGAAGTAAGAAAATGCTAATAACCATTGCATCAGTAAACTAGCCTGTGTAAATGTGAGAGTGTTTGCGTCTCCCATACTGGCTCTGCACACTCCCTCCATTTAGGTATTATGGTTTCTTTAGGCAATCTGACCAGTCAGACACAGAAACTAATACATGTGAATATGTGTTAATAAATAGAAACCTCACTTTCTTCATCTCAGCAGTGTTAGCATAATAATACAGAATTGTTTTGTGATGAGAAATATCTTAATGTATACTTCTTGTAAATGAATTCACCTTTTAAGAGTTGTAGTTTCCTATATGAAATGTAAAGTGGCTAATTTTACTTACTTGAGTTGGTAATCAGTGAGCAGGCGTCTTTTTGGTTAGTGGTACTCAGCAGAGTGAGATGGAGAAAACAGAGTAAGAAAAGGAAGCTTGAAAAAACTTCGGCACTAAGAGTATCGTTTCCGCTCTGTTATTTATGCAGGCAGATCCGTGGTAGTCACGGGTGCCGTGGATTCACTCTGCACTGATTCTGGCAGGCACTCCTCGCACACACCTCCCTCCTCCTCAGAGCTAGTCACAATTCCGCATCTGCTTCTCTGTTCCAGAGCACTTATGACTACGGGAGACAGTTGCTGCAGGCCACGGTGGTGTTGTGCCAGTCTTTGCGCTGCACCTCTCGGTCCTCTGGGGACACGCTTCCTCGCCTGAACAGAGTGTGGAAACAGTTTACAGTAGCATCTGAAGAGAGGGTGCATAGGCTGGAGATGGCTATTGCATTTCACTCAAATGCTGAAAAGGTTTGCTTTTTATTCTTTCCTTCTTTTTTTTTTAGTGCAGTCTCAGTGACACTTGTTGCACATCTGTTTAAAATGTGTTGATTCTGATAATGCAGTTATATGGTTGATGTAATGTTAAAGCTTTGTGTTAGTTCACTGTGAACATTTTTGAAGGTAGGCCTGCTTCTGTCCTCCATTAACCTGATATCTAGTGTTGCTCTCTGTACCTGGCGTCATGATGTCAGGCTCTTTCACAATGCCCAGAGAGGAAACTGATTTTATAACTACTGCTGTTTACTACCTAGTTAAAAGCTCACTTTGTGATTTTGCACTTTAAGTTAGAGAATTGTCCGACTGAAATAATGAAAAAAGCCTTTTAAAAACTGTGGTAAGGTGCACACGATAGTTTATTACCTGTGAGGTCAGGAAAAAAGTTCCAGAAACCAAACATAAAACACTTAGTGTTACTTGGGTAAAGTTTTAACGGAACCCTCTTTAACACTTTCAGTGGAAATGTATAGCACCCAGGTTTACATCTTCACTTGGAAAAAGAGGTTGGTTTTGTAGTTATCTTTGTATTAGTCTCCTTTAATGAGTGTTTGCTTGCAGGGGATATTTAATATACTTTCAAGATATAGAAAACATAAAGGACCTTAGGAATTAAATAGTTTTTGCCTGCGTTATGAAGTATGGGTATTGGGCAGTGTTTATATTTCACTTGGTTTCTGATCTCTACATATCCGTGTGTGGTTGAAATGGATCTAAAGATGGTGAAAGAAAGTATACGAGATGGCTTGGCTTGTTTACTGGTTATTATTTTTGTTAAAACCTTCATTAATATGAAAATTGAGTATAGGAGCGTTTACAGACCTTCAGCATTCTGTTTGGCGCAGTTTCACAGCGCGAACAGGCCCACGTAACCAGTGTACTGTTCAAAGAACAGACCGTTACCAGTCCCTTAGGTCTCCTCTGTCCTCTGCTAGTCACATTTGTCCCTACACCCCATCAAAAGGTGAGCCTTGGCTCAGTTTGTAACACTTTTAAAATGTATCTGCAATAATGTTTTAAAATGTAGAATTCTTTAGAGATTATGGAGGAATAAATGTGGTTAAGAATTTTTTAGTTCTGCAATACTAAGGATTGAACCCTGAGCTATATCCCTGGCCTTTAAATTTTTTTTCCTAAATTTTGAGACAAGATCTGCTTGGTGGCTAAGTTGTACAGCTGTGCTAGGACTTGTGCTCCTCTTAGCCTCCCAGAATGCTGGATGACAGGCATGTGCTGCCATGCCCAGCTTGGTTAAGGACTTGTTAGTAGAAAATTAATGTTTTCCTTTTTTTTTTTTTTTTTTTTTTTCCTGTTGTCTGGCCTTTGCCTTGCTTATAACAGACTTTGAGATTTTTAATTTCACTATGCAGACTTACTGAAGCCTTCTGTTACCAGATACTATTTTCCTTGTGATTGTCATTTTGTTTTATACCAGTGAGCATAAATATAACCATAGCTATAAGAATTGTGTCATATAATAATTGGAAAATATCTAAATTAATCTTGGAATAATGGTGAAATAAATATGATTAGAGTAAGTGAAATGTAATGCAAAAAGTACCAAAATAAATACTTGTTTGTCTTCTCCCCTAAATTTTTCAACTATTTCTTAAATTTAAATAATAATGGAAGAAACAGAAGACTATATATGAACATATATGAATATTATATTATACATATGAATATATATGAACATATATGAATGTTATTATATATATGAATAAATATGAGTATTACCACATATGTGAATTATAACCAGTTGAGTCAGCACATATTATTAAATATAAAATGTCTTTGCATGAGTCGCGTTTGTACATTGTTTTTTTTTTTTTGTTTTTTTGTTTTTTTTTTTTTTTTTTTTTTGTCTTTTTCCTTTTTATTGGTACCAGGGATCAAACCCACGACTGCCTGCTTCCAAGGCAGGTACTTATGCCGCTGAGCTAAATCCCCAGCCCTGTGTACATTGTTTTTAACTTCACGTTTTGATTCCTTATGGACAGAGTCTTTATCTCATTCACATTCCAATGAGCTAAATAAACTTACTATATAGGAAGTTTTTAGTGAACAGTTGCCTAAAGAGTGAGAGAACACTTTTTGAACTTATTTTCCGAATAACAGCCTATTACTTATTTTTTTCTTGAAATCACCATAGACCTTTTTATACTCTGATTACGTATTGCGAATAGGGATTAACGCAGTTCATTTTGTTACTAGAATTTCTAGAGTCAACTTTACAAGTTATAGATGATTTTATGCAACAATGCCATATAGGTGCTAGGAATAAAACAAAAAGCACCTTTTCAAATTACTAAATTGGTATGAACTTGTTTCCTTTTCTGTTTCTCTTTACTGATGTGATCCTTTTATTTGTTGCAGATTTTGCAGGACTGTCCAGAAGAGCCTGAAACTATGAATGATGAAGAGCAGTTTGATGAAATTGAAGCAGTTGGGAAATCACTTTTGGATAGGCTAACTGTTCCTGTAGTTTATCCTGATGGGTATGGAGCATGCTCTTACAATTTTTTTTTTAATTGGTAAAGTCTTAAAGTGAAACCTTAACAAAGGCAAAAAAGTCAAGTAACTTAACTTTGGTCCACATCTTCAGATGGTTTAAACTGAAAAATCCACATTCAGCTGTTAACAGCAGTAGTGGTGCTTACGTCAGATGTGTTGTGTGACCTGTAAAACAGTGATCACTGACTAGTTTGAGACTTTGGGCTTCATTCAGAAAAAGGAGGCACAGGTCGGGGACTGATGTTTAGTGAACTCAGGATAAGCACCAAACACCAAGTTGAACGCTTCGTAATTACTTTTTGGTAAGAGGTCTTGAACCCAGGGCCATATGCACCCCTGAGGGAGCCATGTGTGTTGGTGAGAAAGTGCTCTCCCACTGAGCTACGCCCAAAGACCTTTTAAATTTTTATTTTGAGACAAAGCCTTGGTAAGTTGCCCATGCTGGCTTCAAATTTGGTATCCTCTTGCCTCAGCTATTATCTAATAGGTGGAAATACAGGTGCGTGTGTATCTGTTTTAGGGACCTTCCTGTCACTGGTACAAAGTATCTGACACACAGAAGCAGAGGTTTGTTTTGGTTTAGGTCTCAGTCCATGCATGGCCAGTTGGTTGCAAGACAGAAACAGCATGGGCATGGTAGAAGGGCATGGCAGAGGAAAGATTCTTGCCCCGTGGTAGCCAGGAAAGAGAGGGCAAAGCCAAGGACAAGAATACACTCTTCCGGGTCACAGCCCTGGTGACCTACTTCCCCTGACCACCCCCAACCTCTTAGCAGCTCATTAGTGGATTAATTTACTGATGGATATAGCAACTCTGTTCCAGTTATCTTCTACAAGCCCCACCTCTGTATGTGAGACTTTTGGGGGACATTTTAAGCTATACTAGCTGGTGCTTTCCTGCCTCAGCCTCTTGAGTATCCATTTCAGATAATGTGCTGTCACACCGAGCTGTCCTTCATTACTTTTGACCAAACAGTATCAGGCCAGGATTCTTAATCATGATTTAAAAATGAAGAAACTGAGGCTGAAAGACTAAGGTGACCAGAGCTTCACAATTTCTGTATGCCAGAGTTAGGTATGAGCTCAGGCCTGTCTGGCTTCAAGCCTGTTCTCTGTTCACTGGGCTGTGACATTGAAATTTTTTCATGTGTAAAATCTGGGTCCTGATTCCACCATTTTTATCCATTCCAAGTGGTCAGCGGTCAGAGTATGAAATAATTTGAAGCGAAATGCATGGGCCAGTGAAGGCATCAGAAGGAGCTACATATGTGGTGATCTAGGCTTTCTCAGGGACAGTGATGTAGAGGTAATCCAGGGGTATTTAACTCCAGTGATGGAGAAACTGACCCATGGCATAAGAGCGTGCGTGTCATCACGTTGTTGCAGAATGTGAGATGTGGACCCAGCACACTTTCTGGCAGTGATGCCCTTATAAACCGTGCGGCCTGCAGAGGGAGCTCCGGAGCTGAGTGCACGGGTGGCAAACGGAACAGGCGTTGAGGCATATGGGCACCTGCTTTTAATATTTAGGATGGTTACTTTTTAATTCCTTATTTACATTAAAATATATGTGTATATTTTAGAAATTTTGTGACACTAAATATCTCAAATTATCTCCGTTCCTAATTACTGATACAAAACAATCTGTATAAAGTTCGTTAGATTATTCAGATTTATCTTTGATATATTCTCCTGGTAAAATAAAAGAAGTTGATTGTCTATCTGGATTCACTGTTTGAAGACTCAGATTTAGATCTTGAGTTTACTACTCTGCGATCTTGGTTAAGTCATTTAACTTTCTGGTCTTTAGATTTTGTTGTTTTTTAGTGGTGCTGGGGATGGAGCCAGGGCCTCAAGCATGCTAGGCAGTGCTGTATCACTGAGCTACATTCTTAGCCCTAAGATGAAGAAGCTACACCGGGAATTTCTAAAACCTCCTCCAGCTCTAATTCTGTGACTCTGAATACTGTATCTTGCAAGTTAAAAAGAACAAACAAAAACAACTTACTTTATCTATTAATGTATTAAACCATGTCTTAACATCAGAAAGGCTATTCTGCTTGCCACTTGTCATCAAAAATTGGTATAATCAGCTTTAACCAAATACATAGCCAAATAAATGTTCGCACAAGCCTGTGGACCGAGAATTGAAAGGCCTAAATACCATGATACACAATGCGTATCACTAATACATTTTTCTCACCACATACTATACGTTATACCACTTTAAAAATATTTTTCCTGTGGAATTACTACTCAAACAGTATTGTCTGAGTAAAACATTTTGAAGTTTTTTTTTTTTTTTTAAACAAGGTCTCCCTATGTAGCTCAGGTTGGCTTTGAACTCACTGTGTAGTCTAAACTGGCTTCGAACTCACAGTGATCCTCCAGCCTCAGCCTCCTGAGTGCTGAGATTACAGGCATGTGCACCATCCTAGCCTCTGAATTTCTAAATATAGGCTGCATTGCAAAGATGTTTTATGATAATGTTTGCTTGTACTTGTGTGCCCTGCAGTTAAATGAATTTGTATTAATCTGGACTTTTTTTTTCCTGTCTTTTGATTTAGAACCGAACAATATTTTGGGAGTCCAAGTGACATGGCTTCTACTGCAGAGCACATCAGAGACAGGATGAAACTAGTTAGTCTCAAACGGCAGCAGCTGAGACATCCTGAGATGGTGCCCACGGAGAGCTAATAGCTGCCAGCTTCCCGCAGATCTGCAGCTCATCTCCTGCGTGTCGTCAGCAGCGCACTGCAGCACTCACGCAGTACACTAAGCCGTGTCTCCCAGCAGGAGAAGCCTCGGTTCCTCCACCCACACTTCTCTCTCCATGCTAACACCTCACAACTACCAAGGCATAATTGTTTGACATGCTTTGAGACCATAGACTCCAGGTATCTTAAAAGAAGGAACTGTAAACATTGCACTGAAAACTTGCTTTCAAGCTTTATCTGACCTGTCAGTTTGTAAATGAACAACTGATAAAAAGCTTTGAATGGTGCTAATAAGAGTTTAGGAATTTTCTCCTTTAGAAAAAATGGTTGCCCTTCCTCCCCAGGTGATGTAGTAAATTTAGATTGTAATTAATCTGTTATTAGTAGACAGTGGCGTTCTCAAAATTTTACTTTGTAATTCTTCAGAATTGATTATTTTTATTGTGTCAATATGGAAAAAATCCTTCAGATCTTTGATATATTACATTCATTAAAGGACATTTTCTTATTTGTATCGATAATGTATTAAAACTTCTTTGTGCTTAATAAAAGGCTTCTTTAAACATCTTATTTAATTTGGTAGTTATATCCTATCTCCAAATATGAGTGCCTTACTGAAAAGGGCATTCTTAAGTTGTGGGAGTGATTTAATAATTGTTTTTTCATGGTGATTGCATGTGTCTTAGCCAGGAGATTCATATGTAAGCATGTATATAATAAATAAGCATGTTTTATCATGAATAATTGTGAAAAACAACTTAGATCTTTAAGGACATCTTAATAATGGAACACTTGTAATTTTTCTCTTCAGCTTAAAAAATACTGTCCAAATGATTAACTACCCTGAAGACACTGTCTTTGGGGAAGGAGGGTTTTTAGGCATTCAAAATTAACTTCACTGTAATTAATCCTTTATATCAGAATAATCTTTCTGGAACTAAAATAGCAATTGTTAATGCAGTTCATTTCTCATGACAGACTAGAGGCAAAATAAGTTTTGAAGCATCTAATCACAGCACTGTACAACTCCTTTAGAAATATATTTGTATTTAGTTTCTCAATTGTAAAATGCATATAACTTAACTTTTATGCTAATTTTTGGTTTAGATTTTTTTTTAAAAAGACTGAAAAAAACTTTAGTCTTGCGATCAGTATAAAATTAGGCAAAGAATTGTATGCTGGTTCGTTTTTGTAGTCCACAAACTGGCTCATGTAACCTCTGATGCAAAAGCTCCCTGAGTCTGCCGGCTTCTCCAGCCTCTTCACTGCCAGACTTCTTAAAGAAGTCCACATCTGTTGCCCCCACATCCTCAGCACCCTCTACGCTGCATCTCCTTGTAATCTGGCTTTACACGGCATTGTAGTGACACTGGTCTTTTGAAAGTCAGCAGTGGTCATCCAGTTACCAGGTTCAGTGTTTTGTCCTTAGCCGGCATTCCTGACCTTTCTGTTTTCTGTAACATTTGACCATTGACAGCCTAGCCCAGACATTGTCTTCTCCCTCAGAGATGCTATCCTGTGCCATAACTGTGAGCATAGTTACGTAAGTCTTAAATGACGTCTTCTAAACATGCACTTTCTGAGAGTGCATCCTTAAAATGCTGTGACTCTGTCTCATCCTTAGGCTTTCTCATTTGTCCCAGTTTCTACCTGGTTCAGAATACCAAGTTTATACTTTGAACTGCCTACTTTATGATACAGCCTAGAGGGGAATTTACCACACTTACCAACTTTCTTCTCTCGGAATAGTTTCGTTTAATGGTGCAACTTTTGTTCCTAGTCAAACATGCAAGGGTCGGAGGCAGAATCCTGCTGTTCCCTCTTATGCTGCCACTGCTTCCAACAGCATCCAGGAAGTTCTTTCTATACTTGATGATACCTTCTGCCTTTTAAGGCTTTATTCCTATGAGTAGGAACTTCTGTGCTTCTTCCTTTTAGTCTCCATGATGGTGCTAACCATGTCCTACAGTGTTTATGTCTCCTCCCTCCACACTACACGCTCTTTTGAGGGAATCATATTGTCCTGCTTGTTCTGATTTCAGGCTTTTGCACATGTAACAGACACTCAGTTCTCCTACCTTGGATTCTGTTGTAAGTATTTAGAATAAGCCCTCTTGTATTACAATCTGAAGTGTGTTTTAAGTGTATTTATTTCCTAAACTGAGGACGGACTTATGAATAAATTACTTTCCCAGAAAGTCACTTGGTATTTCCCTTACATAGGTAGCTACTTTAGATATGTAGTTATTACAGTCAATATGTGTTCTACTGAATTTTAGAGTCATTAGAATGTTTCTATTATGACTTTGCTAAAAGAGCTCGTTTGTTTACACCATCAACTCATGGACTCGTAACTGCTAAATGAATTAATTTTTATCTTAAGTGCTTCTGCCCACTAAAAGAGTAGTGTAAGGCAATATCAGGACATGCTGTTTGTACTTTCAGTGCTTCACATGAAACTACCTATGCTTTTGGAAAATACAGGTCGTGCTCCATTTGTAATTCTGCAACTTTCTTAAGCATATCTATATTCAGGTATAGTTATGAATGAAAACCTTGAGTGCCCTAAAGTTACTTTTCTCAATATGTTGTAGTTTCTTCAGAATACTCATGAAGGGTGCGGCTGTCGTCTATTGGAAATCAGAAGTCCTCTGTCATAAATTAACATGAGCTTCCAAGTGGAACAAAAAAGAACCACTCATTTCTATCATATTCATACCAGAACCCCCCACAGTACTTTAGCCACTCTCTGGGAGTTACTTAGATGTTTATTGGACTAATTTTTTGGTTTGAGGGCTTTTTTTTTTTTTTTTTTGCCTTTTTACTGCATATTTGCTGTTGTATAAACCTAGTATAAAATGGTGGTTTTTCTTCATACATGTGTCTAACTCAGTGGAGTTAGGATATAAAGATAGTAAGTTTGTTTCGAATCATTTTGGTTTGTTTCCAGTCCTCACTATTGGTGACTTTATTCTGATAGGGTAACTCACTGGTAATATTGATGAAGCTACTCAGCCTGCCAGCCGGAAAGTTGATGATGGGTCTAGGTTCCATGGTGGATCTCGGTAGACAATTGGATGCTTCTTTTGTGTTGTAGGGGGTTAGATTGACCATTGAGCTTCCAAATGTTACTTCATCTTAAATGTGTTCACTGCTTCATTGCCTTGTCAGCTGTTACCAATGTCATATTGCTTAAGATGCACATAACAAGTTACTTTTCTGAAAGTACTAAACAAGCCATGTTCTCTGATGTAAACCCATTGTAACCAATAGTATGAGTGTGAGCTTAGGTGAAAATGTGCAATGTACATTTGAAAAAATAATTCAGAGTTCTCTACTTCCTCATAAGTTACTTGCCAGTCCCCAAGTACTTCTATCCTCATGTCCTATCTAAAGTGCACAGGACTATAGTAGCATACCATGGTTATTAAAAGTTAGATATACGGTCACTGCTAAGGTGCCCTGCATCTTGAACCCCTGGAGATGATACAAGCAGAAATAAATACCAGCACATACTTCATCTCTGTGATGAGATGTATAATTATGGTCTTTGTTGCAGCCTCTACAAGAAAAGTTCTCTTAAGACTAGAAAGATTTACTGAAGACAGCTGAACCACTAACCTAAACTTAACTAGTGTTAACTTTAAGCCTAGAAATACAAGGTTTTATTTGGGAATAGAAACACATTGCTGGTATGTAGGCCAACAAATATCTTAATGAGCCAAAATGAAGTACAGATTTAACATTTGGCTTCATCATATGCCTCAAAAAAAGTCTTGGTTTTCCTAAGAAGCGTAACTAGCGGGAAGAACTGTAGAGGAATGGTCATAAAAGCTAAAATAAGAACTGTAGCAAATAGAATTTGGAGTTTTCGTATAGTACTTGGCTTTGAAATCTGCCTTTGCCAATTATTGGGACCTTAGTATACAAAACAAGATCAGTAAAATTTCTCTGAGACATAAAATAGGGCACTCGTCGTGTAATTAAAATAATTAAATCTGTAAAAGTGTTAGAAACCAAAAAGCTACACAAAATAGAAGGTATCATTGCTATAATTATCTTTTGGAGCAAAAAAAAATTGATCATTCTTTAGTTTTACTGTGAGTCACAGGCAAGTTGGGATGGGGGGAAGTGGCAGTTGCTTATGTCACCCACCCCTTTAGCTTGATCTCCCCTTCATTCACCCATTTCACAGTGTAAAGGAGAACATACAGGAATTACACGTCTGAGATACTGTGAGTAGTTGGTGAGTTTATTAGTGTATATAATAAGGCTTTGAAAGTGACAGATTTGCTGTTTTATGGGAAGAGTAATACAGAAGAAGGGTAAGTATTGTCTGTTTAGAGGCTGCCAGGATATGACACAACTCTTAATATAAAACATAAGCAAGAAAAAAATCATAGTAGGAGTGTGCATTAATAAGTCAGCACTACATGCAGAAACAATGAAAGCATAGTCTCTTAGGATATTGGTAAAGTAGTCCAGTAATGAGTTCCTTAAAAAAAGTGATAAGACCATTATTTGTGCTGGGTAAGGTTAGAGGAGCCATCTTGGCAAACTCAGGCAGAGAAAATTTAAAAAGTGCTGTGGTAGACTCAGAACAGGACATTCCACGAGTTAGCGTAAACACAGGCAGACCGTGAGTCTGAAAAGGTTCATGGATACGGTGCTGAGTGTGGGTCAACAGTACAGCAGGAGTTGAAGGCTTTTTGAAAGCTTGAGAGTTAACACTAGTCCTTGTACTTCAAGAGAAAGCAGAACCTGCAATAGAACATAGAGCCTTGGAGATGAAAAGGAAGGCAGACCTGTAGCTGATGTTGAGAGCCAACGAGGAAAGTGTTTCTAGAATCACGATTCTTACGTGGACTCTGTAAGGCAGTCTAGCACACAGGTCTTGTAGGTCGTGATGTAGGCGTTCTTAGCATACAACTGAAAACAACCACTGTCGGCCAGCTGTTGAGTGTGGCGATGTGAGAGGGGTTTTAAAGTTAGGCATGCGGGAAACTTTCTGACACAAGGGCTTCTGAACTTTGAAGCAGGTTCCTAGGGAACCTCAAGGGGGCACGTCAGAAATATTTACAAGTCCAGGGCCGCATTGTCTGCTGGGGTCCAAGTGCAGTTCTCCTTAGAGGCAGGAGGAGGATGGAGGTGCCTGCCCACAGAGAACACAGTGGCCCCTGCGCCATACGTGATCAGGCTCTTATCTTTTATAGTCACTATGGCTCTTTTTTAGTCTCGGAGTTAAAGTGAGATCACTTCCTGTACTTCCTTGTCTTAACTCTGGTGTTAGTCCCATGTGATCAACAGATTTGCTTAGATTATGCAATCAAAATACATGGACTTTTTCACAGATGTGTGAGGGTCAAAATAGCACTTTGGCAGTTTTGAACCAGAGTAGATGTGAGAACTGATACAGTGTAGAACAGCGGTGGCAAGCCTGTGCCATGTAGGCTCAAGTGGGCTGTTTGTATCTTTGAATACTCTAAAATGTTCACCGTCACTGATGGATCCTTTCACACACTCTTTGGAGGAACTTAACGTTTCTAAATTGACACTTGGAAGAATTTAATGATTACACTAGCATGAGAACCAGCAGTGAATTTCTCAGAATTTTTGGTAGTGTTTTATTGAGGGAATTAGGAATTTCTTATTTCCCAGTGTTTTATTATAAATATTTTCAAACATAAAAAATAATTTTGTGATATACTACCTAGATCCTAGTTATTAAGTATTCTTGCTTTATCATGTATGCATCAGTTCATCCATTCAGATTTCTAATGCATTTAGATTTCCAGATGTCTATACTTCCTACTACACACCTCAGCATAGAAGATACATACAGTGCTATCAAGATAGAAAACAGCACCCTAGACAGTTCCAATGTGGCCCTTTCCAGTCAGTCCTTATCATCTGCTTAGCTTTCAGAAGTAATCACTGTTCTTTTTCTACCTTAAGTTAACATTCTGTTCTTCAACTTACTGTAAATAAAATCATCATATACTCTTCTACAAGCCTTCTCCACTATTACAATGATTGGGAGATTTAGCCACATAGCTGGATGAACATCATTTGTTCAGTCACTGATGACTGGAGTAGCGTTCCATTCATTGTATACTGTAGTTTGTTTACCTACTTTCCTATTGGCTACCTGGAGTGTTTCCAGGATCGGCAATTATAAATAAAGCTGCTGTGATCATACTTACATAGGTTTATGTGAACGTAAGTGTTTATTTTCTCTTGGGTAAATAGGATTAGAATTGCTGGATTGTTTATAGAGTAGTTTTGGAAGAAAATGTTTCTGTTTTCAATGCAGTTGTCCTGTTCCGGAATTTTATATTTTGAGTGTGTTAGAAAGGTATACACTATTTTTTATGATCCATATTGAAATATTAGGAGAAGTAGGTTTGGGGTAGAAATGGCTTCATTCATGGTTAACAGTAGTATTATCTGAGGGAAGCTAAGATTTGCCTGCCCAAAACAGCTCCTCAAAAGCTTCTTCTGCTTGAAATTTCAGCTTTAGTTTTACGCTTTGAAAGGTTACGCTCTGAGCATGGTAATATATTAGCTAGAAGAAACAGCACTGGTTTTGTTCATATTACTAACTTTTGCCACCCATTTTCAGTAAATAAAATAAGACTCTCATCATTGAATAAAAAAACTACTGTTTGTCGAGGGACTAGTTGTAAAAACATGTACCAATAGTCAGTCCCCAGTATGACAGTGTGAGTGTCACCTGGAGGGGACATCCCCAAATGGCTATCGGAAAAGCAAAAAACAGGGTGGGAAGAATTCTACCTCACAGTTTCGCATAGGGGATAGCTATGCTTTTGCAGGACACTTTAGCCTTTAAAAATCACACTTTCCATGTTTCTCTTTTATTCAGTACCTTACTACACTCTGGTGATTTTCCTCTTCACTGTGTTTTACCCTTCCGGCCAGTTCCTACATAAAGCATTCACCTGTATTAGCCTGTAAGGTTATAATGTACATTTCCAATGCCCATATTTAGAGATATTTGTGTATGATTTATCCAGTCTTTCCTAGTAGATTTTTAAGGGCTGGGAAATTTGGCTTCTACTGTAAATCCTTATAATGCTCCATACATTGTAAATATGCAATAAAAATGTTTAAAACTATAATGGCATTTTTGATGTATTTCTTTTCTATGCTGTCACTCTGGACAGGTTTGATTTCTGTTAATCCATGAAATCTAGGGAGAATTGATATACTTGCTTTATAACATCTGATGAATTTTGCATCTTTGAATTTAAATTATTTTTGTAAAACAATCATTTAGTGTATCTTCTGAAATCTGTGACTAAAACAAAAACATGACTTCTGTATTTGAAATAATTTGTAATCTTAGGAAATAAAGCCTTATCCTTCCCCTTCAGCAGATACAAACCCACATTCTTTCAGGCTGGCATATAAATACAGAGCACAAGACCTGCTTCTGTAGGTCTTGCATTGTCAAAAATGCTTTATTCTCACAGAAAGTAGTACTATTTGAATTTCTGTCCATACCAAGAAGTCACTTGGCTTTTGTCTTTGTTTTCTGTTAGTGGGGGTTGAACCCAGAGACTCTCACGTGGTGGAGATCTATCACTGGCAAGCACTTCCAGCCAAGATGTCAATTTTTTTTTCCAAAGCTGAGGATCAAACTCGGGCCTCGTGCATACCAGACAAGCACCCTTACTACTGAGCTACATCTCCTTCCCAGGAGGTTCTTTTTAAGTCAAAAATATGTCTTAAAAAACATGAGAACAGAGTTAGCCACATTTAAAATAACAAAATCATATTCTAACAATAATAGCAGCTCTAGAATAGATACCAGGAATTTTGGATTGCTGGAGTTGGGAAATTGGCAAATACAGTCAAGTACATTTGCATGATAACATAAGCGGAAGAATATATTCATACTAATTTCTTTTACATGTCACAGTATCCACCACACCTACTTTATCCACTATGCACTTGACACATGAACTATGATTGAAAATATGTGGGTACTTAAACATCACAGTACAATATGCATCGCTATTAACCCATCTCAAAATGCTCTCCAGCTTCTAACGCTCTTTCCCACTGTTCTTGCCACTTTGTGAAGCAGTTAGAATTCTTGGATAGCTATCTGTTGTTGGACTCTTGTAGCTAACTCAGTGTCCTGAATCAGTTCAAAATATTTGCTGTTCATAGTCATTTCAACTTTGAAGAAAAGCCGGAAGTCTCATCCTGCCAGATCAGGTGAATAAAGTGGGTGAGAACACACAAAATGATTTTACAGTCTTGCTTTTCCATTGACTGACATTTGGCAGAAGCATGCACTGTATTTTTTAACACACATTGCAAAAGGCATGAAAGAGAATTTCCCGAAGTGCTTCAGAAAGTGACAAGTAGGAGGGGATAAATGTGTTCAAAGCAAGGGCACTTATATTGGGATGGAGTTGAATGGCAGAGTGTCTTCACTGTAAAACAAAACAAAAAAACCTTTACATTTCAAGCACCATCTTTTTTAAATTTTATTTTAAAGAGAAAACAGATACAAAATTTCAAAAACAAGATAATAGACAATGACTAATATATTTTATATTGTTATCTTCAAAATAGTTGCCCAGATTACAAAATACAGGTATAAACAATATAAGCACAAACTTTCTTTTAATGAACTAAAAGCAGTATAATTATTTGTTATCTTCTCTCTATATATATTTTTTCCCCTTTTTAAATCTTTTCACCCATTCTTTTATTTTTAGGTTCTTTACTTTTGAGCTATTTCTTTCTCTTTCACAGTATCTATTGTACATTTTGAGTTTTATTTACATTTTAAGTTTCTTACCCTAAGGAGACAATACAATATTTACATATGTGTTCATCTGGTTTATTTCACTTACAAGTATGGACTGTAGTTGCATCTATCTACCTATTAAAGCCTTGAGTTTATTCTTTATAGCTGAGCAGTACTCCGTTATATAAAAATACCACATCTTTTTAATCCATTCCTCTGTCATTGTTTCCAAGACTTCACTATTACAAATTGTGCTGCTATAAACATGGGTGCATGTATATTTCTGTGGTATGATGTTCTTAATTAATCTGGCAAAATACCCAGAAGTGGAATAGCTGAGTCGAATGGGACCTCTAATCCTAGTCTTTTGAGGAATCTCTACACTGATTTCCACAGTAGTTTTAACAGTCTACACTTGCACCAACAGTGGAGAAGCATTCCTTTTTCCCCACAGTCCTGCCAACATTTGTTACAGGTTGATGTCTTGATGTTGGCCATTCTTTCCGGAGTGAAATGAAATTCCAGTGCTGTTTTAATTTGCATTTCTCAAATGGCCTATGATGTTGAACAGTTTTTTCATGTATTTATTTGCCATTTGTATTTCTTTAAAAAATATAAAATTGATACAGAATTTCAAAAATAGGAAATTAACACTAGTTAATATATTGCATATTGTTATTCTTAAAAGTAGTTGCTCAGGTTGTTAGATTTAGGCAAGAAAAATGATCAAATATTGAGAGCACAAACTATTCTTGGTGAACTTACAGAGATTAGTAGTATAGTTATTTATCTCATATATATATATATATATATATATATATACAAACACATATACAACTATATACTTTTCCCTTCTTTCTTTTTCTCCTTTCCTCTATCCTAGTTTTTCTTTCCTTTTGAGCACTTTCTTTCCCTTTCATTTTCACAGTATCTATTGTACATTTTAAATCTTACTACTCTTTTTTTTTACACTAGAGAGACTATTTAAAAGTATGTGTTTGATTTATTTCACTTAGAGTATGGTGTCAAGTTGCATCCATTTACCTATAAAAGCCTCAAGTTTACTCTTCTTTATGGCTGAACAGTACTTCATTATATAAAAATACCACATCTTTTTAATCCATTCCTCAATTGATGGTCATTTGGGTTGTTTCCAAGACTTAGCAATTATAAATTATGCTGCTATAAACATGGGTGCACATATATCTCTGTGGCATGATGCTTTCAGTTCTGGGAAAATGTTCAGAAGGGGATACTTAGATTGAATGGGACCTCTAATTCTGGTTTTTTGAGGAATCTCCACACTGATTTTCACAGTGGTAATACCAGTCTACACTCCCACCAACAGTGGAGAAGTGTTCCTTTTTAGCCACAGTCCCTCCAACGTTTGTTATTGGTTGATTTCTTGATGGTAACCATTCCTTCTGGAGTGATACGCAATCTCAGTGTAGTTTTAATTTGTATTTCTTGAATGACCAGTGCTGTTTTAATTTGTATTTTTCAAATGACCAGTGATGTTGAACATTTCTTTATGCATTTGTATGCCATTTGTATTTCTTCATCTGAGAAGTACATGTTCATCTCAGATGCCCATTTTTGGATTGGGTCTTTGTATTTGAGAGGGCTGATGTTTTTCAATTCTTTCTATGTTCTAGATATGAAGTCTTTGTTTGAGAGACAGTAGGCTAGGGGCTGGAGATTTAGCTCAGTGGCATAAGCGCCTGCCTTGCAAGCAGGCAGTTGTGAGTTCGATCCCTGGTACCGATAAAAAAAACGAGAAAGACAAAAAAAAAAAAAAAGAGAGAGAGACAGTAGACTAAAACATTTTCCAATTCTGTGAGTTTTCTTTTCATTCTGTTGGTGATTTCTTTTTTTTAAATTTTATTTAAGGAGAAAAAGGAAAAAACAGAAAAAGGGTACAAGTTACACAGAATTTCAGAAAGAATAAACAGTAGGAAATCACTAATTAATAGATTACATATATCTTAGAAATATTTGTTCAAGTTACAAAATTAAAGCATATAAAGTGGACTTTCAAACAATGAGACTGCAAATAGTTTTGTTCAATGATCCAACAAAACTCAGTAATATGGTTACCTATCTTATACACGTAAATATATATGCAGTTATAACCTTTAAAGCACTTTCTTTTCTTTTCTTTTGCACAATGACAATTACACATTTTGGGTTTTATTACTCCTGCAGTTCTTATTACTTTTTTTTGAAGAGAGTAAAACCAAATGTGGCATAATAGAAGAGAGTCAGTCAAATCAAAAGGATGGGCATAATAGATAATGTAAAAACAAAATACAAGGTGATCAACAATGGTTACTATACTGCCTCTTGTTATCTTAAAAAGAATTGCCTATATCATCAGTTATAATAAAATTGAACAAAACAGTAAAGAATAAAACCAAAACATTGGAGACATTACAGGACTTTAAAAGAAGATAATAGTCAACCAGAATGGGCGTCATAATGAATCTTACTGTCTTCACAGTTGTTGCCTATACTTTCAAACTTGGTACTATCAAGAAAAGCAGAATAGAGGAAAATCAGTCAAAACAAGATGGTGAGGGCAATATAGGGTTTCAAATCAAGTTAATGGGAAACCAAAGTGGGTTACTATAATGTATCCTGCTATTTTTTATTTATTTTTCCCTTAATTAAAAAGATAAAAATAAAAAAGTAAATAATTAAAAAAAAGGAGATTGAGACAAAAAAGGGCATAACAAAAAAAACAGCACAGGTCAAAGCATAACCATTTAAACAAAATAGTGTTTCACCACAAGATATCATGACATAAAAGTAGTTACCATAGTGTCTCTTTCCTTGAAATCTTTGAGTATAACTTCGTATACTGTAGCACCAAACATATCAAGACAATGTAAAACCATTCAAGAGAATGACATTATTACAGGGTATTTAGAACCAACTATCAGAAAATGAACAATGGTTTCTGTATAATCTCCTTGTCTATAAAAGTTTTTGCTTATATTATCACATATAATAAAATACAATAAGATACAACCTGTTAAGACCGATGGTGACAGAAGAATATAAGCTTGATGGGACTTCAAAACAAGATGCTACTAAATCAGCACTAGCTATTATAATGTCTTATTTTCTCCAAAATAGCTGTTTCTACTATCCAATCTTCTCTGCTCATTTCTGTTGAGATCTTTTTCTGTCGTTTGTTGTCAATTTGTCTTGTTCATTTCGCTTTCTGCTCCATTCATTGTGGCCTCTCTGCCACTGTTTCTGAAATCTTGGTATTTTGCTTTTTTAGACTATCCTGCAGTATTCTCTGTAGAGTTGAATTGGTGGTTGCAAATTCCCCTAGTTCCTCTTTATCCTGGAAGCACCTTGTTTTTTCATCAATTTCTAGAGATAGTTGTGCAGGATATATCAATCTTGGCTGGAGGTTATTATCTTTCAAAGCTTGAATTATTCCCCCCCCACTCTTCGTGATTTGATGGTTTGTGTCGAGAAGTCTACTGTAATTCTGATGGGTGTTCCCTTGTAAGTAATCTGTTTCTTGTCTCTGATGGCTTTTAATATTCTGTTCTTATATTGGATTTCTGGAATTTGATTATTATATGCCCGGGTGTAGCTCTGTTTGGGTTGTAGGTGGCTGGGGTCCTGTATGCCTCATACATCTGAGTATTTTTACCTTATGCTAAATTAGGGAAATTCTCCTGGATTATTTCTGTGAATAGCTTTTGTAGTCCATTTGTTTGTGTCCCTACTTCTTCTTTTATGTTCTTAATTCTTAAATTATAGATCCTCTTATCTTCTAGCCTTTGTATTATTGCTGTTTGTTTTCTTGTTATTTTTAAGAAGTTTTTTCATTTCATGCTCCCACATTACAAATCTGCCTGCCAGTTCAGATAACCTATCCTTAGTTTCTTTCAAGCTGTTATGCCAGCTTTCAATAGAGGTTTTAGTTTCCTGGTAATCTCTTTGAACATGCTTCACATATTCTATGCTTTCTCTATTTTCTCCATCAAACAATTCTCCCCTCTTTTTCTGTTCTTCCATTCCACCATCTGTTTTTTCTTGGGTGGTGCTTAGCATTTCTCTAACTATTCTGTTTATGTCTTGCTTCAGGTCATTAATAACTTCATTCCTGAACTTGTCTATGAGGCTCTGGAGATAGCGCTTTATGTCTATTGGTGCCGTGTCTGCTATTGCATGTTTCTCAGGATTGAGGGCCGAGGACCCTTTCTTGTTGCTCCCTCTTCCCATATTCTTTGTTCCTTATATATAAGCGTATTTAGGAGGCTCAGCTTCCTTCCCTGTTGGCCACAATCTGTTTGAATTGTGCCAGCTAGGTGTTCCCGCCCACTGCAGCACACCAGGGAGACACAGACCTGGTAGTTTAACTTCTTCTTTTCCTATTCTTATTCTTTTTATTTCTCTCTTTTATCTACTTAATTCCAATTTTCTGTAGGGTTTTTATCATAACAAGTATTGGATTTTATCAAAAGCTTTTCTGCATCTAATGAGATGATCATGTGACTTTTGTCTTTGGCTTTGTTAGTGTGGTGTCTTACATTTATTGATTTGTGTATGGTGATCCATCCTTGAATTTTTGGGTTGCCATTTATATTTCTTCATCTGAGAAGTGTGTATTCATCTCCAACGCCCATTTTTGGATTGGGTCTTTGAATTTGGGGGGGGTGAGTTTTTTTTCAGCTCTTTATATGTTCTAGATAAAAGTCCTTTGTCTGAAGTATGGTTGGTTAAAATTTTTTCTACTCTGTCAGTTTTCTTTTCACTCTGTTGGTGATTTCTTTGAGGAGCAAAAGCTTTTTAATACGATGAGAACCCAGTTGTTGATTCTCTGATGTATTTCCTGTGCAGTTCAGTTTTTGTTCATGGACTCTGTGCCTACCCTTATGTCTTCAAGATTTCTATCTCTACTTTCTTTTCCAATGGTTTTTGTGTTTTTCACATCATTTTAAAAATCATTCCTTGTATTCACAACCTTGTTCCAAAACTCTGAAGATAAAGGATCTGGGAGAAAATGTGAATGAGTCAATTGCAATCCTTGATACTCTTGTCTTTTTAATCTCATGTTTAAAATGTTCTCAGAAGAAGACCACCAGTTCTACTAATTGTCTACACATAGGAACCGTTGCATTTATGGAGAAGTCCTGTACTCATAACAGAACCAGGCTTTCCTAGAATCCGTTAGAAGAGGAATATACTATCCCATCAAAAATGATTAAGATAGGATTGGTTCCTTTCTTCAGATACATTATGGATTAAACAAGCTTCTATAGGATGATACACTAATAATTAATGTATACTTTAATGATAGTACTGTATGTTGCAAATTATGAACAATAGATCAACCAGTGGATTTTTAGAATTTATCCCTTTCATTTTTCCCATTTATTGTTGCTTTGTTCTAAGAAAATATTTAGAGCTCATAAATAAATACAGATCTCTTTAGTACTTATGATATGAACATATTATTTTAAAGAACAGTTGCATTGTAGACAAAGATAGAACTTATATTTTAGATCAGTACAGATTTCTCAGAATTCATCAATGCAGACAGCATATACTCAATATTTCGTGTACTTCCTTTGTATTTTATGGAACAAGATCATACCACCACTCAACTTTATTTTCTGCCTTTTAAAGCCAAATTTTTTCAATGCAAATTAAAGACTTTTATGAGAAATACTGCAATTATTGTCCTAGTGATTAGGAGAATTTTCCTTGGTTTAGATTTTGTTCCTCTTGTGCAATTTCGTTTTCAAAACTCATATCCAGAAGCAATTTTTGGTGCATTATATGAAGTGCTGATATGATCAATTTTTTTCCAAATAGCAAATATAAGCTGTCTTTCCCAATGATTTCTGATACTCCTTTGAAGTTATATTGAGTTTATAAGTCCATAGACCTATTTCCAGGCTAGTTAGTTAGTCTATTCTGCTGATCACATTTAATTTTTTTACCTGAACCATAATTCCTCCAGAATCACTTTAAAAATGTTTTTTTAATCAAGAAATTTTTAAAGTAATGTTGCATAGAAGCAGCTCTTTTCTACTGAAAAAATATATTTTAATGGCATATATAAATACAATCTCCATGGATAATTATAAATGTCTGTAGATTTATAGGGCTAAACATAAAGGTTTACATGCATAGAGCTTGTTAATATTGAAAAACAGAAAGAGTAAAAGGAATAGACTGTATTGACTATACCACATAGAGAACAGAAGTTGTACAGGATCCAGAGAAGAAAAGATGCAAGAAAAAAGAATGAACAGCAGGAAAATAGCACAAAAATAGAAGGAGAAAATAGAGATGCAACTGAAAATTTGTGAGACTAATAACAATTATTTACAGTATATTTTCAAGCAAAATAGTATATACAGTGGTAAATTTACATATAAAATATAGGCCTAACCCATGAGATCAACAAAGACATAAAAAGCCAAATGTTATCAACAATGAACTAATCACATTTGCTCCAACATGATGTTTCTACTTTGGAGCTAGCCGATCACGAACTGACTCCTCTGAAAGTTTAAAACAATTTATACCTCTCCTTCTTCAAGTTTAGGGTGGTCAGGTATTGTGTCTGGCATGCTTCCTAGCTGTGCTGCATTAGTGTCAAAGCGCTTCATGTGTGTATTTTGTCTTTTCCATTGGGAACACTAAGAATAGAGACAGATTTGTGTTTCTTTTGTCTTAGAGTTCCTGGTGTTTGTTTTCAGACTCAGGACTTGTCCAGGAGGTGGGAAGTGTTGGCTAGCTTAGTGATGGGATGTATGGACATCTGGACAATTTTTGATTTAACATCGAAAGAGCAGAGTTAATGCTCTGTAATATTAGAGGAGACCAGAAGGAAGTGGCTGGGTTCTTGTCTCATGCACTTCATAAACTCGAATATCTACTTAATTTCTTCTCAACTTTTCAATTCTTATGACAGAGAGGATAGTACAGGTTGTAAGCCTGCAGTACGAGGTCATTTAGAGAACCAACAAGACTAAGTGACTGCGTGTTTTACAGTTCTCAAGGGATCTGAGGAGGATTGTGCTAGGAAGGGGACTTAAAGTCCTGTACACAGAAGCCGAGGCTATCAGCTGTCCCTGCTTGTGGAAGCTCAAAGCAGGGGTGTGCCCAGAAGCAGAATCTAAACTCCCCACAACAGACTGGCTTTGCTTTTGAAGTCCTTCCTTTCTGAGGGTGGAATCTGTGATAGGAAAGCGGTTGGCTAGGGCGGTGTGAGTCAGGTGGGGTGGGGTAAAAATGACCTGCTACTTTTGTTTCCATTTTGATTTCCAGGTTTCTGTGAGGGTCTCCCATCTTGTTTCCTGTTTTTCTTAAAAAGCCTGTGCATGTGAATATCTTTTTTCCTGCAGGTGTTAGTAACTTCTTTATCCTTCCGGAAAGTCTCAGTAATCATTGCCTTTTATGTGGCTTTTATGACCCAGTTGAGAGATCTATTAACCAAAAACAGATTCCCACAGCGAAGGCTTCAGCAGAACTCTTATGAGGCTTGCTAGCTTGGAATGAGGATGTGAGTCGCAAAAAATTTAAAAAGTTACTTTTTAAAAACTCAGTTAAATTTTTAAAAAGCCCACAGGAGAATATATTAAAAATTTGCTTTTGTCATTAAATTGAAGCCATCGAACTCTCGGTGATACAAGAAACATCTCCCATGTACAGCCCAGAAAGCCCATAGCGTGACTAATAGCACTTGATCATCTGTGACAACCTGTGCATGTATGTTCACGTGAGTGTGCACACACACACGAATCTCTTGACTTTCTTGAAACTTCATATTGAAAAACCTTCTTTTAAAACTTTTACACCTAGTGCCTCATGCACGCTAGGCAAGTGTGTTTGACTAGCCCTTTTTCGTTTATTACTTTGAGACAGAGTCTTGCTAAGTTGCTCAGGGCGGCCTCAAGCGTATGATCCTCCAGCCTCAGCCTCTGAGCAGCTGGATTACAGGTGGGTGGCACAGTAGGTGGCTTTCTCTTTTTGACTCTACACTGCCTACTTTGAATAATAGCCATGCCATTTGGGGATATCTGATTTTTATGTTCTTGAGTTTTATATTATTATTCTTTCTTTGGAAAAAATTTACAGCTGCTGGGATAGATGATCGCTCCTCTGCAGTGTCACTGCTGGCTTCCCAAGCAGCTGAGATGTCTGCTGCTCTTGAGGCCTCCCTTGGGATTACTCTGAGATGGAAAATTCTCAGCCTCAACTGGAGTTTAGCAACAGAAAGGAGAAACAAAAGAAATCCAGTTTCTCAAAATCGAGTTGACTAAAACTCCTGTCTTTTCGTAACCATTGCCTGTCTTCTGGAGCCCAATTCTCAGGATGCTTCGTTACATCAGGAGGAGCTGTATCAGAGAGAAAACTCTGTTTCGCTGGACCCTAAACATGCAGCTCAACACAGGTAGGAAGCCTTGTGACTTAAAATTTTAAGGCTAAAATTTGCATATTAAAGTTCTTAGTGATTTTTATGAAAAAAATGTTTTCTGGCTTGAAGTGTTGTATACATTTTTCTCATTCAAAAAAACATTTGCCCAAATCGTCACTGGCCTTGTACACACTGTTCATTTTAATTTTGGTCTATACATATTTGACCTTTTCCTAGCTCATGTATTTCTTTATTTAGCTATTTTCCAAGAAAAGCTGTATATAATAATTGGAGAAATATTGATACCGTCTCACAGCTCAATTTTGGGAAAACGTAATTTAAAACTATAATAAGTTCAGGGAAAGAAAGGAAAGGGAAAGGACACAAAAAGAATTACATTGTGTTATGTACACATATCAGCTCCTTACCATGGATGTAATCCTTACGCATTACAAATGTACTAATGAAAATAAGATATCTTTAAAAACTGTGATAAATTCAGACGCCCTGAACCTTTTGACCAACTTAAGTATCTAAATTTGCTCATTTCATTGCATTATTCCGCCACCCCTGGTCCTGTAGATTGAACCCAGGACCTCCGCACTGAACTACATCCCTATATGCTCTTTTAATTTTTCATTTTGAGACGGGGTCTCTCTAAGTTGCAGAGTTGCAGAAGCCTGGTTGGAGGGCTGCCACGCCCAGCTTGGCATGTGATATGTGATTCTTCTTAAGTAAAAACAAGTTCCCATAAAGAGACATCCCAAAGCAGCCTCACGGCGTCATGTGAGCGTTTGTGTGGAATTCATTTGTGTGGAGCATTGGTGACGTGGAATTCATCGCACTGCCCTCTCACGCTCCTGACTCCTACCATCTTTTCTTCACAGTGGGGCTTTGCTTAGTTTAGTTTAGTTTAGTTTTGTTTTGTTTTCCATGTGAAGTCAAATGACATCATTCTTTAGATGTAAACCCTGAAATAGTTTCCCATCTCACTCAGAATGAAGTCCAAGTCCTCACATTGGTTTCACAGTAGTTTTATCACGTAAAATTTGCCATCTTTTGTTCCTGATGGGGGACTTCAAAGTAATTATGCCAGGAAACCAAGTGCAAACCAGGGTTTGCAAAATGGGATCCCGAGGCTCCCACCTGAAGGCCCTAGGTCAACTAGGCACCCTGGTCTCTTGGTTTCCGTGATCCATTGCTGCATTCTTTCACAGTCCTTGCATAGCTCCAGTCACAGAAAATTACTGGATGCTTTTCCAATAAAGCAAGCATAAACCAGCTGCCTGGAATGTTCTTCCTGAGATAGCTGCATGCCTTGCTCTTTCATTTAATCCAGGTCTCTACTCAGATCTCATCTACTAGAGAGACCTTTACTGAGCCCCGCCAAAAATAGTAATCCCTCATTCAATCTTTCCTTACCCTGCCTGATCTTTCTTCGTAACACATATTATATAGCATATACATACAATATATGCACTTTCCTTGTATTTTCTAACTGATATCTCCCCAATCAGAATGCAAGCTGTACCAGTGGATGAACCTTGTCTTATATTGCTCTGTGACTGAGATCAAGAACACTGTTTTACACTTTGCAGGTATTTAGTACTATTTGATAAGTGAAGACATGAACACAGTCATGGAAGAATGGGTTACTGGCGAGAATTGGAGGCTGGGTAAGGGGAACAGAGCAAATTCCATTTATTTATGGATAGCAATTAAGTGAGATGTTTATAATCATGAAATAACTGAGAAGTACCAGGAAATGTATTAAGTGATATAAATAATGAACTGGGAAATTGTTGGCTACTGTGAATAGTTGAGGTGGCATCCTAGAAATGATGACACACTGAAATATGTTTGGATCTGATTAGTAGTGAAATGACTTACTTCTTGGTAATGTATATTGTGCCTTTCTGATATGTCTAATCCATCTGAGTTGCCTACCATATGTTTTAACTCAACTTAATTTTTAAACTTGAAAATTCATTAAAAAATTTGACAGCTACTAATTTACGAAAACCCTCAGCACACTGTCATCTCAGAAATAATAATTTGTTGCTATCCGAGCACCATATATGTGCCAGGCATTAAGTGTTTTATAGATATGATCTCTTTAGTTCTCCTGACAAACCTTGTGGTGCAAATTTTCCCACAGCCCCAAATTCACATGCAATGGAAGGCACAGAGAGTTGAAGGCAGGTTGATGGCAGAGCTCATGCTCCTCAGAGCCTCAGCTGTATTGTGTGACTGTTTGTTTTTATTGTTATTATTGTGGCCATTATGAGCTTACTATTCCTATTAATCTCTGTATCTCATAGAAATATCCTAATGGCACCCTCTGATTGCTCTGGCAAGTTCTTAATGTTACCTTTGTGATTCAGTGTTTTGAAACCACTAGGGTTGTTTTTCTTCTCCACTATTGATCTTTTTCTTTATTTCATTGTTTGTGGTCTGTTTCTTCTCACTGAAAGATCAACATCTAGAGGGCAGGGGTCTCTTTATTCTGTTCCCTGCTATATTCCTAATGCTTAAATGCTTATAGCAATGGTCAGTAGCTATAGATACAGGAATAAATACTGAATGAATGAGTTACATTAAAACAATCCATCATCCAGCATTTATAAGCACCAGTTCCATGCCTGCTATTATGGTTCACAGATTTACTAGATGCCAGCTCCTCTTCTAAGCACTTTCCATAAACAACTTCTGATCTCTACAACAACCCTAGGAGGTGACGTGCAAAGATCCAAAAGTGTTAGTTAGCACGTGGCTCTTCTCCATGAAGAGCTTCACAGAGTTGAGAGAGAATACGTATGGAAATGACACAATTAGAAAACAATATAAATGTCAAATGTCAGCATGTAGTTATTAAATTTTAAGTTCCAATTACAGTTTGAGGAAAAAGGATTATAGAATGACATTTTAACTTCTACAAGATGTTGATAATTCTTCATCTTGAGTTGGGAGGAATTTGGATGGATGGAGGTATGTGAGAGATGAATTTCCTGAAAGGATCAACTGAATTAAAGTAGCAAGGTGATCTTTGGGATCTGGGAGTAAGGATGTAGGTCACTGAGCAGGTAGAAAGGAGCCGTGCATGGATGGGGCTGGAAAAATGGGGCCAGCGGTGGCTAGAATCAGTTAATCACTGTGTGTGAATGTGTAGGCACATGTACCTTATTTATAAAATCAGGAAAACAAGTTGTTTCAACCTGATTATGTGAATTACATGGAATAAAAAGTAAGGTGTGTATTCCAGTTCCTGGCGTGTAATCATCAGTCACTAAATGGTTGCTATTATTACTACTGCTACGGGTAATAGCTGGGCAAGTTTTGCCTTAAATTTTTAATATGGATAATGAAACTCATTCTGAGTTATTTATATCAGGTCTATCTAACATGTCTTTATAAAGTGAAATACAGTTTAACCAAGAGCTATGTAGAAACATAAGCTGACCCTACCCATACTCCAGCAAGGAGGCGTCATGGCATAGTTTTGAAACTGAAAAATAATCACACAAAAAAGTCTTCAGATTACTAGTTTCTACATCATAAAAAAAAATGAACTGTTTTAAACTCTAAGGAACCTAGTCCTAGTTTTGTGATTCCCCATGGAGGATATTTCACTGGAATTCACTTTGTCTAAAAACAAGCATTTCCCAGAGGGGTAAACAGAGAAAACATAATAATCTGTGTGAGATCCCTCTAAACTTCAAAGGTATGGGAATGCCTTTCAGGATTTTGTTTTGTTTTGGGGTGTGTGTGTGTGTGTGTGTGTGTGTGTGTGTGTATGTGTGCGTGTTTGATGGAAGGCAGAGAATAGAGTAACTCCAAAAGCCTTTACTATTTTCACATTTAAAAATTCCATCTAAACATGCTGTACCAATTTCCTTAGTACAAATACATTCTATCCTAGTTATTTTCTGTGTACTGAGATCAGAAACTCAATTTGTTCTTAAATCTCATTCTAAATGAAGGAAAATATGTCAAAGTTATAGAGAAACTAGAAGTCGATGCAGAGGGCCGAGCAGCAGTTTCTGAGAGGGAGGAGAGAACTACAGAGAAGCGGGAACTAGTGGGAGGAAAAGCAACAGAAGAGGAGGGAAAATGATTTGAATCTGTTGCAGGTTTGAAAGCCAAGAATTTGAATTAAAAGATGTCACTTGAATTCGTACACACAGCTTGTTTGACTGCTTATGTCTACCAAAGTAGAAAACATTTTCTTTATGCAAGACCCAGCACCTACCCCATCTAATTAGCAGAAAGAACAGTCACGTGCCCGCGCAAAGGGCGTCACCTCCACTGCTGAATAGCTGGATTAATCTTCTAACAAACTCTGAGATATTTCCAGGTCCCTTTGCCCTTAAACCTTGAAATTAACCAGACTTTTCGCCACGTGCTCTCCCGTTTCTCCTCTCTTCCCCTCTCTCTGGGCCTGTGAGTTCAGAAGTTTCACGCTGTCCTTTGCACCCCTTACACAACTGGTCTCCTCGAGCCAGACTTTGTGGATGGAGTCCCTCTTTACTTAGCCTGTGAGCTTTGTAGCTGGTTGCCAAAACATCCCTTCCCCTCCTGAGGGCCTTTATGCAATCTGTGTCCCATAGTTTCTAAGCAATGAGGAGTAACTTTGGGTGAAAGTGCGTTGGGTGTTCTAAGTGCAGACCACTGTTTGCTGTCCTGGTTGGCAAAACACATAATGAGTTGAGCAACACTCGTTGGGCATTTTAGTTTAGGGTGTGAGTACTTTATGACACAGGTGTCAACTTCCGCTTTTTCTTGAGGTCAATTAGTTAAAAACTGGCGCAATCAGTTTGTTTTGGTCTATCAGCACCAACTACATACTTGCTCTGGTGGAGAGAACTTCCTGGGTTATTCCAAGGTGGCTGGCTCTCAGCGAGTTCTCTGCACTGCCATAAAATGACTGATTCATAGGAGTTCGAGAGAGCCGTGGCACTTGCTGTCCTGAGCTTCCTCCAACTCTCCTCTCTGGGCCCCTGGTGGAATTCACTCAGCAGAACTGGGCTGCCCGTGTGGTTTTCGTCTCACTGGAGCAGCAGGCAGGTCAGAGCACAAGGTGAGCATTGTGGCTACACAACTACAGACTGGCTGTGCCATGCCCTTGGAAACCAAAATAGCGGCTCAGCACCCAAGATTCGTACACACACACACATATGCACACTTAACAATATTAGCAGGAACCTCAGCAAAGCCAAGCTGACTCAGACCTCTAAACATCAGCCCTGAACCAGAACCTGAACATGCTTTGAAACTGAGCTAATAGTGGAGTGGACTCATTTAACTCTGTTAATGGCTATGTCCTCCTTTTGGGCTTTGTCTGAGAGATTTCCAGTGGTCCCAGCAGCCTTGGAGGTAGTGCCTGCCTGTGGGGTGTTTGCATCTGACCTCTGACCTGAAGTTCAGTGTTATTTTCAGCTGTTCTTTGACAGGGAATCCAACAGCTGCTGCTTAATACCACAGACGACTTGTGACACATGGGAGTTTCTAGCAATAGGCTTTATCTGCCGATCGTGGGCTCTGATCTGAAGCCAGTTATAATTTGCTCAGGGAGTAAAGGTGGGGAATAAAAACCAAGCCTGAAGAAGCCTAAGGTACAATATTACCCTTTACAAAGTTGTTGCAATATATATACTTTTAAACCTTTATCAAGTAAAACATATTTCTTGTTGCAATTAGAAAATAACAGCAAAACATTTGGCTTCCTAGTGATTGTGAAAACTGATTTGAAAATGCTATTCAAGGCAGCATAACAGTCACAAAAGAATCCTGAAGTGATAGGTATCTATGGATAAGTGGTGGTTGAAATATTTTAAAAATGTCCCTAAGAAATTTGTGGCTTTGAAAAGATGTGGTCATTCCACATAAATGTCATTTGGCAAAGGGCAGTAAGTTTTAAAAAATCAGATTAAAATAAAATTTTGTTTTCAAGAAACTTTGTGACTTAACTCCCCAATAAAAACCAGAACTTTAAAAAAAATGCATTTTTTAGTGGTTTTCTTAGCATGAAGGAGACTTGAGAAAAAAAAAAAACTTTGAAAAGTTTGATATTCGGGTCTATGACTTTCTGGTTTCAAAGTCCATAGTTACAACTGTTTAGTTTTAATGGTCAAACTAATTTGGGTTGTCAGGATGTATTTTTTTTTTTCCATTTGCTATCAATCATCAGCTGATAGGCAAAGAGCTCAAAGCTGTTCTTCTTGGTTCAGATAATGGCAAAAATAACAGGCTCTTAGTGTTACCATACTAGGGGTGTGGCTCTTTGTTTGCTCTCCTCTCTCTCTCTCTCTCTCTCTCTGTGTCTCTCATGATAAACTCAATGAGGTTGTCTATTTTTAACCTCCTGTACTTTCCTTTTGGCAGAGTAATCAGTGCGAGCAGAGCTCTTTCCCTGAATGAATCCAAGTAACCCTGCTGGTTGCCTTTTGAAATGACCAGCAGACTCTCTTCGGTGTAGAGGCTGCCCCAGGTAAAACTCTCCTTCTGAGAGACCATGTCCGTCCCAGGAAATCTTGGTGCAGAGCTTTCCACTACAACTGTCTGCTCAGTAGCCGTGCAGGCTGGAGACTCCAAAATAGTGATAGCTGTCATAAAGGTAAGCTAAAACTTTCCTTTTCTCTCTGTGGCTGTGGGCTTCTTGGCTGTGTTGATAACTGTAAGGAATATTGTACTCAGTCAGCAGGACACAGCACAGGCAAGATAAAAGTAAGAGGTCTTCTTAAGAGCATTCTTAGATTGGTAAATAAGAGAAGCTTCTACGAAGTTTTAGCCAGTTATTAGAGTTTTCTCTTTCCTTTCCAGTTAGCCAAAAAGCATGTACAGTGGTTTGATAGCAAACTTTCAATTTGGTTTTTAAAAGCAAGGCACATGTATCCAAAGGGTTGTGACTGCCAGTGGCAGAGGCTGGGGCACTATGCAATGCTTGTGATTCTTAGCGGGGGATGTGATAGAGTTGGAGCAGGAAGGTCAGAGGGTGGTACTGTTTTGACCATGAAGGAGCCCAGGGAACACCTAGTGAGAGGCTCTGGCATGTGCCCATGCAGCCGTGGTTTGGATGCGGCAAGGGCACCATTAAATCCTTGGCACGTTCATGGGGAGCAAAGACGCTGCCACTGAAGGCTGCAAACAGCATGTGTCAAATTTGCACTTAATGACACAGTGCTGAAGTCACTTGGGACTTAAGTACATGTTTTATGTCCAGCAATTTGCTCATTTGCAAACATGACCACACATCTTGAGGGTGAAGAAGATATCTGACTTTATTGCCCACGAAAACCTCTGAAGCATTACACTTGGGCTTTATGTAATTTACCACCTAAAGAATGTAGTGTTTAAGGAAAGGAGATCTGGCAAGCAAGCTGTCGTTCACCAGCGAGTTCCTTACCAGGACCCCAGCAGGCTTAACTGATGGCTTCTCTGGCCTTTTATTAAAGCAAAAACAACAAGACCTATTTAATTTAATTGCTGCAAATTTTAGGGCAATATGAAAATTCATAGTAACAACACAGAGCTGGGCATTGAATAAAACCATTCACCATGAAAGTGCAGAATGCAAAAAGCAAAATGTTTCTACTGAGGACAACTTGTCAGTGCTGTTGAGGGCTGTCCCTCAAATTAACAGGACCTCCGCTGACTACTTGCCCCCTAATTCTTCCAAAGGAGGTGGATGCAGATGAAAAATCTGATACAGCAGCAGTGAGAACTGATCGTTTGCAAATGGTTTAATGACACTCTGAGCAACCACAAATTTCAACAGTGAGGAGAGGAGGGGCAAATTCATTGTTTAAAAAGTTAACTTTTTCCTTAAACATGAAATATTCTTTGAGCAGGATAAAGAATAAGGCTCTTTTCATCTATGAAAATATCAAAGGTACACTGAACCTAAGAAAAGAACTTGAAAATTACACTGGGGACTCTTATTTTATCTGAATTAGGTTTGTGAGAATGTTCCCGTGTTGCCCCAGGCTCTTTATCTTACTGCCTTGTCCATATAAAATACACTTCAAGCTCCTTAGAGTGGAAAGATGGAAATTCTGTGTCAGATCCACAGTGGATTCTATTTTGCCCATATGGAATTTCACTACTTTTATGAAATTACATTTTTTATTATCTAACTTTGTACTATTCAATTATACAAACTCCTTATACGTGCTCCTTATTTGGGAATTTTAAAATTTCAAATCCAACATGCCAGAGAGAACAATTTATCATAAGAAAAAAGCAAGGCAAGGCAAGGATTTATAGTAGACTCGTTAGGTTCCAATTTAAGTAAGACCCATCTCTACAGGAAAAAAAACACCTCATTATATAACTGGAAATTAAAAAAATAAAGTTAAAAAGGAGAAGAGTGAAGAGGAAGGAACCAGAGGAACTAAAAGTGCATTTTATTTCATTTTTATTTTTAGTGTGGCAAATGGGTACAATTTCAGCTGGCTGAGTCACAGCCCAATCTTCTGGAAATTGGGGGCAGTCAAGATGAAACCAAAAAACTGCTTCATGACCATGAACTTCTTTTGGCCAAGCTCAAGGTAAGATAAAAGATAGGAAGCCAAGGCAAATTGCAGAGGAAGAAGCAGATGTCTGTGTCTTACATTTCTTTTCTTGATGCCTCTTTGGCCATGGCCGTCTTAATGTTGTAGCAGACAGAGAAGAAAAATCACTGCTGTTATGATGGACAAGCGTCAGCATGAGAAGAAAGTAATGAGATTTAAAAAAAGAACCTTCCCCTAATGTGAAAGAAAATGTGGCGATAATGTGTTCACTGTAGAGAAATTTAAAAAAATAATTATTTTTTCATGGTTGCGTCAGTGAACAAAAATACCCCTATTTTCCCATTCCATGCATTACACTGTCATGTCCCAACAACAGAGTGCAACCTTCTGCTGTTAATACCTTCTGCTAAGAATAATTTCAAGGCTTTGTATTTAAACCCTATTGAACTATCTGTTAGCTTTCTGTCACTGTGACAAAATACCTATGATATCAATTTAAAGAAGGAAAGGTATATCGTGGCCCACTGTTTCTGAAGTTTTAGTGGTCTCTTGGCTCTGTCACTGAGGATAGGTCTATGACAACGCAGAATGTCATGGTCACAGAGCTTGGCGGAGCAAACTGCTCAGCCTTACAGTGGCTGGGAAGCAGGATGGAGGAGACAGCACAGGTGGTTTGTACCCTCCCAGTGCAGGCTCTCAGTGACCTGCTTCTTCCCCCTCCAACCCACCTGCCAAAGTTTTCACCACCTAATGTTATCAGATCCTAAATCCATCATGGGGTTAATCTACTGGTGAAACCCTCAAGATGTAAACACTTCTAAAGCCCTACTTCTGAGTACTTCTGTCCTGGAGACTGGAGTCACATATGAGCCTCTTGGGGGACATTTTAGATCTAAACATTTAATTGTTTTGTAAACTCACAGGCAAACCGAATACGCAGCTGTTACATAGGCCATAGTTTTCTGATTGGGTGGTGATAAAAATACAGTGGACTCTTGAGTTACTACTGGTCTCACAATTGAACTACTTGGGTTACGACTAGAATTTTAAGCTTAACCTATGACCAGTGTCTTGAGTTATGTCAGCCACAAAGATTTGCAATGCCAGAAAAGTGTATGTAAGCATCGTCTGAGCCCAGGCACATGTGTTTGTGGCTGTGATTTCAGTCAGTGCTTTATATAAATGCTGTGATTGCTGCTATCAAAATGACCCCCAAAAAGCTAGAAAAGAAGTTAAGAAAGGGAAGGGTGATAAAGAAAACAATCACAGTGAAAAAGAAGGTAATTGTGGAGAAATGTGAGGGTAACATATGTTACCCTACAAAAGATGAAAATACCAAGCCACAAGCCTATGAAGGAAAAACTAACATTGCTATATACCAATGTGAGTGACCTCACAAGAAAAGGTGACCTCAAGATAAGGCCTCTCTTGGTTTGTCACTCTGAGACCCCTCGAGTGTTTAGAAAACATAAAGTCATGAAGAATAGGCTAAGGGTCATGTGGAGGTCTAACACAAAACCTGGGTAACAGGAGTGTTTTTCCTTGAGTGGATTAGGGAGGGTTTTTGTCTTATTATTAAATATCTAGAGGGCAAAAATTTGCCACTCAAGGCTCTCCTCATCATGGACAGTGCTCCTGCTCACCCATGAGATTTGGAAGAATTGGCTGAAGAAACCCCATGGTTCTTGAGTTCCTCTCACCTAAGACAACTGCTCTACTGCAGCCTGTGGACCTAGGGTTTATAGTTAACTTTAAGAAGCTGCACACCAAGGAATTGTTCCTGAAATGTTCAGATGATCTCAGATACAGATTTAACCCTTAACGAGTTCTGGAAGGAACGTTCCAACATCCTTTCTTGTGTGGGTTAACAGGGAAATTCTGGGCCAGGGTCTCTCTAAGGACACTGAGATCTGCCTGGAAAAAAGTATGGCCTAAAATTATTCAGGAGAGAGCCTTTGAAGGCTGTGTAGAGGAGCCTGAGCCTTCAATTGACCCTGTGATTAATGACATTGTCACTATAGCAGAATCTGTAGGCTTGCAGGTAGATTGTAGTGATGTGGAGGAACTGATGGAAAAATACTCAAAGCAACTGTCTATACAGGAACTTCAGCAACTTCTGGCTGAGTGTTATGGATTAAAAACTGGTGGTCAATTTAACACCACCTGAATTAAATCACCTTGGTACTGAGTGTAGACGGCCCACCTGAGGAAACTTGCCAGCATAAATAGAGAAGTGGAGAAGAAGAACAAGGCATTGTGGGTTTTCCTAAGTGTTGCTGGTTCAAGCCATTTGTTCTCCTGGAGGAGCTTGTCATGACTAGCTTCCCAAATATGAGTTTGACCATTATCATCAGAGGAGCTTGGGAGTTTGTTCGTGAGAGTAACAGTGGTTCCCTTTGGGAGAGCTGTGGTCCTTACATCAAGCATTGCTTCTTGGCTCCTGAAGGGAAGATGCATGCTCTTTAATCTCCAGGAGAAACTTGTCACACTGGCTTTCTGGCATATACTTGACTGTTCTTATTGTTGGAGGATAAGAATGGCTGTGGTACTTTTAGGGCAGCCCTGGTCCTTGTTTTGAGCATGACTTCTGGGCTCTAGTGTGGAACTCTCAATCTACCAGCTCAGCTCCTTCACCCTGCTGGCATAGTCTTTCTAGCTTCTGCTGCTGACCTTTGGACCTTTCCAGAACAGATCTTTAAAACACACTGGCGTGAGTCCTTCTGATGGACTCTAGACCTCCAGTGGGACTTGTGGGAGTCAGTGTCATGGGCTTGAGGTCTTCAGCTGGACTAATGCAGGACATTGCTGTGGCATCCAGGTCCTTGCCTGAATATTCTGGGTCTTTAGTGTTGTGGATAGATTTTCTGCACTTTCTTGTGTTTAACTCTGGGTGAGCATCATAAAATAATATTATACATTCTGTGTCCTGATTGTCATCTTTGGCCTCACAACCCCTGACTACAACACTGAAAAACAGCTTGCAGCTGAGGAGCTTTTTTTAGAGGAGGAGGAGTATCAACAATCAGTGCAGCAAAGGTCTTCTGATATAAAAGAAATCCTAAGATACATGGACAGAGCTGCAAGATTTTTGTGGAGAAGACCCACCCAGATAGACAAAGCCAATCTTTGCATTCATTTGATGATGACAATGGCATTTCATACTACAGAACAGTGTTAAAGACAGAAAGAGACAACTTTAGACCAGATTTTAGTTCTGAAAAGGTTGAAACCTAGTGGGCCAGATTCTCCCAAGGAGAGAAAGGTCACCAGAGAGCCAGTTTCCAGATGTTCTTAGGGAATTGGACTCTCCTTCCAAGCAACAACCACCTTCCATTTCATCTCCCCTTCCTGCAAGCCAAAGATGTCAACTTAATGGTGAATATGCAGTATGAAATTGTTGTTTCTGATAAGTTAGGCACATTTTATAATCTTTTGGTTGATACACTAGGAAAATTATTGATGTTTCTGGTAAATTATGCACATTATACAAACCTTTTTTAAATTGTGAAGATGTTAGTTGAGGAACGTTTAGGGGGTTCAGAACACATTATAGGTATTTCCATTATTTCTTATGGGAAAAATAGTCTTGACTTGCAACTGAGTTACAACCAGCCCTTGTGGATGAGCTGAGTTCATAAGTCAAGGTCCACTGTAACGGGTCAGTTAGATTGAGAAGTTGAAGAAAAAGTTGGAACTGAAGAAAGAGAACATTAGAATCAGGAGTAATTCCTGTTTGACAGCTCCTTGCTCTGATGTCTGGGCTCTGAGCTGTCTCTGCACGTAGTCATCCTTGGTCCTCGTAAGAATTATGTTTTGAAAAAAACATGACTGTAAAAAGGCACTGAACCAGGAATCAAATGACCTGTGTTTAGCTCTAATTGTGTCACAAACCAGAGTCATGTGACTAATAATGCAGGCTTTTCTTTTGACATTAAAAACCTGCATAAATGTAAACTCATCTTGAAGCCTGAGTTCCAAGAAGTGTGGAAACCTAGTACTTCCTCTCTATTCCTGCCCGTTACAGGAGGTGTGCTTTCTTGTGATTCCTGTGTCCTTAGCTGCTTCATATGCATCACCCCAAGTGCTGCTGAAGCTACATTTCAAACACTGTCTCTTCTCCAGTTCCCACTAATGGTCTGTGGCAGGCAGCATTTTCTGGTCCCCTGATGACTCAGTGATGGGAGTTGTCAGCAGTTCAGGTCTCCTCTGGCTGCCTGCTTTTTCCCTCATTCAACTCCAGAAGACAACTCCAGTAGGAGTACTTCCTTAGGGATGAAAATGAATGAATTAAAAAAAAAATTTTTTTAATTCACTATCGTAGCAGGCACACGGTTATTAATCTCCCTCAGAGTACCCCCTCACTTTCCACACATGTATCCTGCCATTCTTGCCGCTGAGGCCGTTCTGGAAGTCGTCTTTTATGAGTATTGTTACATGCACTATTGTCGCTGCCTGGATATCCTCAGTTGAGTGAAAACATTTATGTATGGTCATTGTGACTTCCAAGAAGAATCAGAAGTTGCATAGGGTCAGATTCACTGAATCAAGTGGATGAGAACACATCATAATGTTTTTATTTGATGGAAATTGCTGTAAATGTTTGCTTAATAGTGAGTGTTCAAAAATACAGTGAATGTTTAAAAGGTTTTTACAGTAAAAGACATATTGCCATGGATCCCGCAAAATACCCAAATATGCCCTCCCTGCTTTGAACACACTGCATTATTATTGATGTGTCTTTTAATTGTAATATATTTTTTAAAAAATTAAAACATGCAATGTATCTGCTCAAATTTTCATGTCTGAACCCACCCAGGAGATCAAATGGGAAGCAGTTTTACATTTAAGCGGATCCATCCCCCTTGAAAGTGCTGTGCTGGGTTCTAGTTTCTCAGCATCCTGTCCTTTTATTCCAGTGCCCAGGCTAGGGGCCAGCTACTTAAGTTCTCTGGACTTTAGGTTTTTATCTGCAAAATGAGGAGAGAACAGATCAGGGCTTCATATCCACTCTGGAGCTCACCCTAATGTGCCATGGA